CCAGATAACTGGGAGTGCGATACTAATTGTCATGAGGTTGCGACCAGGGCAACCTACATGAACTTACTGCCCCTGGAGGTTGCTTCAAAGCTCCCCCATTCCCACCGCTCCACATGGGTTGGTCGAAACCATTTTAGAGTGTTGAGCCCTAAGGCTTGCGGCATCTTATCGGTACTCTAGGGAGACAACTCAAATAGCCGTAGCTACCCCCATAGGAGTGCTCTCCCACATTTGTCCTGGGTACATCGTAATGAAACCCAAGAGTCATAATGCCGCCGCGTGGGAGGCTCTGGTCAAATGACCATTGCCCTTTATGGAAACTTGGCCGCAACCCCGGAGGTTCATGCTAATGCAGACCCTCCAGGACTGTCGTTGCCCAGCAGGACCACGAGGAGGTGTTCCAAAGCTGTGTCTCAATTCATACCTGGTCTGTGATACGTCCCCACCAAAGACACAGCCACCCTGCCTCTCAAGAAGGATTATATTGCACTTAATTGATTGGTTCAAACTTTAACTTGCCTACTATAGTTTTTCTGTTGCTAATAACTGACTTTGTATGTTGCAGTTCTAGTACTGGATGCAATGGATACATCAGGAGAACAACATTTGCAAATTGAACATAACATATATAAACGTAGGTTGGACTTGGATGGGAAACCAATTGAAGAGCCCCAGAAAGAAGGTATTTTTGCATGTCATTCATAATTGCTGTCAGAGTATATGATGACTGCAGTTAAAAGTAGCCAAGATCTTGAGTGAGCATTAAGTGTTAGGGGTGTGGATTATACTTTCAACCAAAGAGGATATGGTAGGTGAAGTTAGTGTAGTAGTTTACAAATTGTGCTCAGAATGTGGCGTTGCAGCAGTACAGTCCAGATTCATGTCCTGAACACGCCACTCTGATGCAATGCTTGAAAATTTGAGACAATACCTCTTACAGTTTTCGGTATGTGTTCATGCTCTGACTATTGTAGAGTGTATGTTATTGGACAGGCACCAGGATGTCAGGCCCATATCCAATCCCTCTCTCTCTCAGATGTGTGACAAGGCATGTACTGTTTTAGGATATGTCAGTGCATGCCAATGCTACATTCTTTTTTGACTAAATCCTTTCAGGATGCAGTATGGCATGCTCCTGTGTCATCATGGTTTCCTTTTGGTCTTCCCTTCTGTATGGATGGTTAATAGCCTAGGGCAGAATGATATCAGGACAATTGACCAACCAGGAGTTAGGAATTTGATTCAAAATTTGGTCAGTGGCACTGGCCAAACTTACTTATTGCCTTACATATGAAAACATATGAGTGTCACACACACACACACATGGGACACAGAAGAATGAACATTGTACTAAGTCACTAGAGAGTAAGAGAATTGAATTCATACTTGTCTGAAAAAATTTGAAGTAAGACATTCACTGCCAAGGGATAGTCACCTAGCAGTCGCAGAAAGCTGTTCAAGTCAGTTGGCATGTGACTGGCACTGGACAGGAGTAACTGGGGTATTATCTCATGTGTGATAGTGGCGAAGTTGTAATAATGAAGGTGAAATGTTCATGTGATTGATAATTGTTCTAGTGCTCTGATAATCTGTATGTAATTTGATTGAACCATTTCCAAGTTCCACATTTGTCTCATATTCTTCTCAATGGAATTAACTGAAGTCCTAACCACTATTTGCCAAGTGGAGCATCATGCACTGCACAAATGAGTTACCACAAATTCGTAATTGATTCCTGAGATCTTAACCTGTCAGATTATTCCACTTATTTACCTTCCCATACAGGCATTAATGAGAAGGCTGGTGCATAGCATCTGGGGTGAGAGGTGATAACTGTCACAGCAACTTGGTGACAAGGGAGCTAGCCTGCTGTAACAAGTTTGGTCATAACTGTGAGGAGGTGATCTGCTACACTGTTCTGGGTTGTGGCAATGTGTAATATTGTAGACAGACACTGACACTTCAGAGGAACATGCTGCCGCCATCTTCAGTGTTGAAGTGATGGAGGCAGCATGTTCCTCTGAAACATCAGTATCCACTTACACGACTACATGTGGCCGTGCCATAGCTCAAGTGGTTAGTCGCTGGCTTCCCACCATGGCGGCCCGGGTCTGGTCAAGTGGGATTTGTGGTGGACAAAGTGGCACTGGGGCGGGTTTTCTCTGAGTACTTCGGTTTCCCCTGCCAATCTTCATTCCACCAAATTCTCCATCATCATAATCACCCGGGGCAGGCTGCAATAGGCGAATCAGTGGCCGCTGTGCAGAGTGGACCCAGTTGGACTTCACCCCCCACTAAGCGAATTAATTAAAAAAAAAGGTTTTTTTTAGAAGACTACAAAGTGTCACAGTCCAGAAGACAACAGTGGGAACAGTCACCATAGTGAGAGCCTTGAAACTTAAAATATCACATGGTAAATTGGTTGAGACAGTTTTTAGCATTGTTATATTTTCTTATGAGTGGAGAAAATGGTGTATTTTTGCAGTTATTGATCATTTCCTTATTTCAGAAATTGGGGCAGGAGCAACAGAGATTCCAAAAGTAAGTAACATACAAATTTAGAACATGAAAGTTAACTTTGATATGAAGAATTGCCATGAAGAACATGGTATTCTGAATTGTAATGCTGTGCAGTTCAGAGAGATCCCAACATTTTGGAGGATAATTCTACCTCCATATTCAAACAAACTTGTTACCTGCTTTTGCTGGTTTCTAGCTTGGATTATTATCAACCCTGAAGATGGAGGCCTTTTCTTTTCAACCCCCATGTTTTAGTTCCAATCTTTGACCTTATAATACTATAACAGCCGAAAGTAATTTTACAGTAGATCATCAATAAAAGTAATGGTAAGTTAATAAAATATTCAGATTTATAAAATACTGATGCCTTATCCAGTCAGGCTTCAGTGTGAGATCTGGAATAGTAAGGAGTGCAGTGGATTTCACAATTTCACAAAGCCATGAAACCAATTCCAGTTCATATGCAACAATACATTTATAAACTTGTTAATGACTTTAATTGGTGACATGATGAACTGTTCATAAACCTTTGATCAATTGTAACCAGTGCTTTTTTTTTTTAGCCAATACATGCCAGTAATCTTGTAGGTGTCAAAATTCATACATCTGTTAGTGCATTTTAATTTTATTGAGGGTAAAACCAAGCATGACAGTGACAGAAAACATTTTTTTTAGAAAAAGTAGGCACTGGTTGTAATTGACAATAGACTTCTGTACTTAACTATGTTTATTGTTTTCTTCTAACAGGGAAAAAATGCAACTGAAGAAAAAAAATGTGGAAGTTGTTATGGTGCAGAAACTGTAGATATTCCGTAAGTACAGATCTGTCTTTAGTTAAGGACAAAACTAACGAGTTTGGGTAACTTGTAAGTTATAGTAATTTTATATCCATCTTAGAAATCTACTTTATCATCAAGATGATTTCCATACAGCTGCAGAGTAGCACTGTTTTGGGGCACACCACATGGTAAGATTCTGTGTGACGGTACTGAAGGAACAACAAAACCCTGACTGCTTTTGCTAACTTACAGAGACCTTTATGTAACCAAATTATATTTGTACAGTTAAGTTTTATAAAACAATTGTGGTATCAGATATTCTTGTTTGGTGGACATGGCATTTCACAGTACTTCAGAGAGACAATTCAGACAGTGTTTGAAAGGTACCACAGGTTTTCACATGAATTTTCTTCCTATCGATGACAGAATTATGAGAATGAAAATAATTTCAACATCTGAAGAGTGTACTGAGTGTAATGTGCTGTTAATTAAAGTGGGATGTTTAGAAGATACTACTTGGCATGACATGAAGTGTGGGGCATATTTCATAAGCATTCATTTAGACAGATGGTGGTAAAAAGTTCATTGTCACTGTTACTGGAAACTGATGAAGTCCAACAAACTTTGTTGAGGAGGAAAAAGAGCTGTAGGATATGTGTAAGGGAGTTGGAATCAGTTCTCTGAATTTGTAAAAGTGGAAATATATTGAAGAAAGCAGTCTTCTGGGATTTGGCACCGTGTATATGTGGTGTTAACCAACGTTTTGGAGGAACGTATCGCCTCCATCTTCAGGGTAGAAGAATCCCACCGGGATATTAGGCCAGATCCAGAAGGCCACACAGGCCATGACCAACCAACATAACAACCCCCACCCCTCAGCTCACGGGTGGTGCCCAGCCGTCAACCTTGCCTTTCTCTCCCCTACACAAAAACCACGCTTGTCCTAGCTCCCTTCCCCTACCTCTCCCACACTACTGTTTTCACTTGTATACTTGGCCTTCCCCCTTCTCCCTCACTGCTCTCACATAGCTGTGTATTTTTCCACAGTCTGCTTTTACCGGTTCACACGGTCTCTTTGCTTGCAGATTCTTATATATTTTTTCTTCTACCCTGAAGATGGAGGCGATACGCTCCTCCGAAACGTCGGTTAACACCACATATACACGGTGCCAAATCTCAGAAGACTGCTTTCTTCATAATCACCGCCGTGAAAGCCTCAAATCTTACATGGAAATATATTGCACTCTTTATGATTCCAGATCTTACATTAAAGCCTAAATAGATAATACACTAGTATTTTATACATTTGGAAGATTATCAACTTTGGACTTTGATATATTTATTCTAAATTATTATTGTGTATGTATTATAATTTATGATTGTGTTCCAGATGTTGTGATTCTTGCGAAGCTGTTAAAGAAGCTTACAGAAGAAAGACGTGGGCATTTCCTGACATAGAGACCATTACTCAGTGCCAGTCAGAGCATTACTCACAGAAGTTAAAGAATGCCTTTTCAGAAGCGTGTCAGATATATGGTTATATGGAAGTAAACCGTGTAGGTTTAAATTTAATAATATCTACTTACATCAGGAAAGTGTGTGGCCATATTCTTCAAGCTCAGTTTAATTCATACAACAGTGATATTTTTGTATAGATGATAAAGATATTTTTTTTTGTTTTAAAAAATAAAATTTTTTATTCTGCTGCATCATGACTGTGTATGAGACTAAGTGACATAGTAATATACTAATAGATATCTGTAATTTATAGGTTGGTGGTAGTTTTCACATTGCCCCTGGGCAGAGTTTCTCCATAAATCACGTACATGGTAAGTCCTTTCATTATATAGACAAGGGATGCACGATATATGCCCAACCAACTTGTCCATTCAGAAATTACAGTTGCCACCACCAGTCTGCAAGCTTGGTCTTGGTTCAGTAACTGTAGGTTGGAAGCTGAGAGGATTGAACACAGCAAAGTGATCAGTGAGAGTAGCTGTGTGCCATGTCTTGGACTGGTAAGGTAGACATAGACCATATGTCAAACACATGGCAAAGCTCAAGCTCACAAACTGGTGGCAGCAGCTGCCAACATTCCTTTCTGTTTGTCTGTTTAAGAAACACTCTTCCATTTTAGGTAAAACTGAGACCAGGTTATAATAATAAGAAAATCAATTTAAGAATGAGAATTCAGAAAATTAAATTTTTGTAGACCATTGTATTAGTTCAACTGTAAGGCAGATTAGTTGGGTTTTGACTTTGTTTCTTTCTCTCTTTTCCAATCAATTACCAAGCCATATTGACATTTAAAAAAAAGAAAGAAAAATGTTTCATATAAAATTTGCAGGAATTATGTGTCACCAAACTTCAGATTGCTTGAAGTTTGTCCTGAAATTTAGGTAAGTCTGTGTTTTATGTTGTGTCTCATTTTCATTTTGGTTACAAAATGTTCTGTCAGTACTTCAGCATCCTGTTGCACTGTATAGATCTGACTTAAGAGTTTTTGTGCTAAGTGCAACACTGTTTGCTAATCTTACTTCATATTCTTACTTCCTTTATTGGTCACTGCATAATTCAGCCTAACCGGCCATCTTCAGGTGTAGAGATTGTTATGGTTAAGGATTCTGCTGCTCACTGTAATGCGGTTTTCTTTCCTTCTATTGTAGTCGCCTCTGGTTATGTGGGTTAGCATCGGTTTTATTGAGATGTCCTTCGGGTGCACGTGGTTGCTTTGTTGTTCGTTGTAGCTGTCGTCACGAAAACACCCACAAGGAATGACTATGATAGCCGACCAACAAACCAAACAAAATGAAATGCAACCATGTGCAACCCAAGGACACCTAAATAATACTGATGGTAATGCAAGTAACCAAAATAACTGGATGCAACTACAGTAGAAGGAAAGAAAACTGCATTACAGCGAGCAGCAGAATCCTTAACTATAACAACCTGTACACCTGAAGATGGCCGGTTAGGCCGAAACGTGTAGTGTAGTAGGAATACGGAGAAAGAATAGTGAGCGACGTTGCACTTAGATGGGACAAAAAGTCCTAACTCAGATTGTACATATTTACTTATATTTCAGAGGAACATACACCTTGATCTTCATGGTTACTCTGGGGATGAGGCAGCATGTTCCTCCAGAACAATGGAAAACATCTACACTCTGCTTAGTATCACATCCCAGAAGACGTATCTTATATTGTGGTATCCAGAAAATCCACAGAAACTAACTGCTTAGAGTGTGCTACAAACAAATGTCAGTTCCCCCTAAACAACAGGTGATTTCTAACTTTGCAGTTCATGATGTACAACCATTTTCCTCTACAAACTTCAATACATCACATCGTATCAGGCACCTTTCATTTGGGAAAAATATTCCAGGAAAAACAAATCCAATCGATGGCAGTGATGTGATCGCACATGAAGGTAAGTAAGGCTGCTGCTTTGAGTTAGCTTTCTTAATACATTACATTCCATGGATCCAAAATTAGTCAGAAATGTCCACAGGATATGAAATAGTTCATAAAATCACAAAACGTGTATATATAGTACAATGAAGCTTTCACATAAAAATAAAATAGTCTTCATATAAGGTATTTAAATGCTTCAGATATATATGCACACATACACACACCGGTACTGCCCACTTATGCTATTTATACAAACCTCAACAGATAGTAATTTTTAGGTAACAGGAATTCATCAACAGAGTACAAAGGTTGTGTATTTAAGTATCTTTTTAGTGCTACTTTAAATTGTGCCTTTTCAATTGTAAGACTTTCAAGACTAGATGGTAGAGTGTTGAAAATTTTAATGCTGGCATAGTGTGTCCATTTCTGAAAATAATACTGAGACTGGATACCAATATGTAACGGCATCATTTTTCATTATGAAATCGGTTGGCATTGATAATACCACTTATGTACATCACACTTATCTCATATGAAATAATATTTGGCACTTTGAATTTTGTCTGTCACATTATGAATTCCCTTTTTACTTCACACTGGTTAGCTAGCATAGGTCATAATATGTTTGTGGCAGAATTTATTTTCTGAAATCATATCTTTCACTTTTTTATGTCAGCTCCAGTTGCAACCACCCATTTCTCACCTGTAGTAATAAGTGTTAAATGCGTGTCATCAGTATGGAATCTTTTCATAATCTTTGAAAGGGGATGAGGTATCACCTGAACATTGCATAATGGAGAAATTTAATGAACATAAACCAAAATTATGGTATTGAACTCTGCTGTTTTGAAACTCTCTTCATAATGATAATGGGGATGTGGAATTGATTAAGTTCCACTGAAATGTCATTTTAAAGATCAAGTAAAATTTTCACAGCATAATGTTTTATATTATAATCATAGAAAGTCAGTGCACATGTAACATGGTGTTCATTAAACATTTTGACATACCTAATCCAACTGTTCTCTTCAGCAGTTCACTTCATCTACTGTAATAAGTTTCCTTTATGGTCACTTGTTATCCATCTGTAGCAGTTAACTACATGTAGAGGTAAAGCTATCCCTGTAACAGGCCATGGAGGCCCATAGGGTTGTGAGACGTTGAGGGTCCCACATTATTGGACAGTTGGCTCACAGATGGCAGTGAAGTTGTCTCAATTACATGCAGACTGCCCTTTACCCCCCCAGGAACATTCCTGGTAAAGGCTGAGTCAACCCCAGGGCCATAGTGCGGCCAGAAGGATTAGGTAAATTGAAAGAAAAAATCCACTTCATCAGGACTCAAACCAGCGACCTTTGAACTTGTGTCTTAGTGCCTCAACCAACTATGCTACCACATAAAACCTTCCCATACCAGGATAGTTCAAGAAAGTAGCTGGCTACAGGCTTCGTTGCTGCACTGAGGGAATCTCTGGGGTCCACCCTTTTATCCAGTGGGCTCTACTCTGACAAAATTACCAACACGAGGCTTGAAAATGTAGGAGTACAAAGGATGCTGAGATATTTTATGCTACTGGAGGTACCAGTTGGATTAGTAAAGTAAAACACACACTGAAAATGGTACATTTCCATCAAAATCGGCATGCGAAGTTTTCACTTAGTGTGTGTGTGTGTGTGTGTGTATACACATTCACACGTTATTTTTAAAGTTATGTTATATCTTTTCATTACTTTTAGACTTTTTAGGAAGCACTGAACATTCTGAAACCAATCTATATCATGTTTTGTTTGCCTTAATGCCTCTTAAGAGCAGTAAAATTATTGGAGAAAAGTAATAAGCTAGTAAAAGTGAAACATGTAATATATGGCTATTTACTCATTAAATGTTACATATCAAGTGTATAATGCATATATTCAAAAGATATTTGCTCACTGCGTAGTTACATCAGTCCTCTATAGTTCTGTACAACTTGCACCACAACTTTTCTAGAGCTTAACATCTCCTGCCACACAAAGGATCTTGTAACTGCGGTCACCAGAACTATTATAACAGTATTTTATCACATCAGCACCTAATTCCTGTTCCAATAGCCATAAATGTTCCAAAAGTTCCTCCACCTTGAAGCATCATCTTCCCCACGCTGTTCACTAATTCTCTTCCACGGAGTCCATATCTGGTAAAACAGAAAGATAATATAAGCGCTTAATAAATCATCTTACAAACCTTTAAAGCGGTATACATTTTCTACTACCTGAGGGCTGAGAAACCTCCAAAAAGAGCACCAGATGCGATCCCAACACAGAAGCCGATTGTGAATCCCATTTTCATGCGGTCCCAACAGCTCGGGCCAGTCTGGTATGATCCCACAGGAACAGGCATTATTCAAATGTGCTACACAACAAAAAGAGGACAAGCATTATGGTGTGCTGTTGTGTTCATCTCCATACTAATATGACCCTTATCACTATGGTCCAAAACTGTACTCGTATAAAGGTCAAGACACAGGATTTGTATGTTAGATAGCTTGGTTTATTCCAAAGTTACGTTGTGTGATCTGCATAAATTTGTGCAGACACTCTGGTTTTGAGGGCAAGAGGGTTGATATTGTCACGTGTCTGGGGTTCTGTGACAATAATTAATGGATTGCGGATTTGGGGAAGAGGTTTATTGGAGAATTACGCCAGGCAGAACTAGACACTTATCACACACAATAATTATAACACTGCGTAACTATGATCAATGATCACACTGTAATGTTCACTGTAACTATGCCATATGAAGACTTCTGTTCTCGTCTCTCTCCTAGCTATCTCTGTTCTGATCTCCGCTCTGGGCTTCTCTGATCTCTCTTCTGGTTATCTCTGCTCCAACCTGATCTGATCTCAGTACCAATCTGGTTATATCTGGTGTCTCCCTCAGGTAGGTTCATGGCGTACTGAATAGCAGACACTGCCCCGAACAGTTCAGTATTTTGTTTCCATGGTAACCTCCTGCCTATTTATGCGTTGCCACAGAAACACCTCCAGTTCTGCAGTAACTTATGTGTCTAGCCGAATTTTTCCATGGAAGTGCACGTATACCAGTCCCATGGTAATCCAGTGTTGTGGGAATGTGCTTTGTTAACGCTTGTCTAGGAAATCAACTTTGATCTCACTCAACTATTCTGGCTTTTAAGCGACATGCCACAATATTTTAGATTGAAAGAACTGAAAAGTCCATGTTTCCTTGGCTGTTTACTTGCCATTGCTAAGCAATGATACTTGCGTTTTCACTGTAACATTTGCTTGAATGTGAGCAGTTCCCATGCTGGGCAGCTTGCAATGTATTGTATTATAAAACCATATAAGATGATGATCCTTGATGAGAGCTTAAAGAAAAACACTTTACTATAGTGCACCACCATGTTTGCTTCCTGATGTGGAAATAATAATCTGTATGTATAATCTTTTATTAACCTATAAAATAGGCCACTCCATAGCTCAAGCAGTTAGTCACTGGCTTCTCACCGTGGCGGCCCAGGTTCAATCCCGGGTCTGGTCAAGTGGGATTTGTGGTGGACAAAGTGATGCTGGGGCAGGTTTTCTCCAAGTACTTCCATTTCCCCTGCCAATCTTCATTCCACCAATTGCTCCACAATCACCCTCACCTATCATATTGGACTGGTACAATAGGCCATAAGTGGGCCGCAGTGCAAGGAACTTAGTCCCACCCCACTAGCAATAAAAAACCCTATAAAATATTAGCACATCAGTAACTAAGTACATAAATAATGCTGCTGGACACACAATAGTTTACATAACTGAACAACAGGATGTGAACAGAAACTGTAAGTTTTAGTATGGTAAAACAGAATTCACCACTGCGTTTAGTACAGTTTACATCTCGTTCTTCGAGGTTGAATTTTCTCGTTACTATGTTGGTAGAGCCATCCCGCACACATTTCCGCGCAACAGTGTATCACGTTCACTGGTCGTGGTATCCCGAACTTCCCTCCCCCCCCAGACTCGCATACTGATGCTGTAAAGTACTTTTAAGGCTGTTTCTAAACCAAATTGCCTCACAGACTTTCTGAAGTTAGCAACCTTATATGCCCAACAATAGTTTAAAATATGAACATGGATTTATAATTGGCCATGTACGATCTCCGCATATTTAAAATGCCAAGTAATTAGCGGCAATACGAATATTTTGACCAGTATCTAGGCATGTAAAATTTATAATGCAATACACGTAGTGTAACTATCGTAACTGAACTTACATACCTATGCTATTAGACGGTAAATTATGCGTCTGCCCTTCTTTATGTCCAGATTATGCTATAAACATTATGCACGAATATGTCAACCGTAATCCTACAATTCTGCCATGTTTGTGTCTGCGTTCGTCACGTTTCTGTTTAGTGTTCCGTGATACCGCTGTAACGTCAGATGGCAATAGTATCAACCTGACCGTGTTACGTTATACCGTGCGATCCCGTGTGATGTCCGAGCGATGGACAGCGTGGAAGTTTCAAAGGGGCTAGAAGTGATGTCGTCCAAACATGATTAATGCATTTGCCCATCCCGTTTGGATTTGTAATCTAGTTTGACTTATTTAATTCGTATATGTTTAAGGTCGTTCAGCAAAGAGGTTCGGCCCACACTAGAGATACTGATTTCATTCTTACAGATAGAATGACATTTGTTACTTGGCTACTCTCTAGTTGCTTATGTACGCAAATGTAAGTGCTTGACGATCGTTCTCGAATGGATTTACTGGTTACGACATACTTTACTGATAGTGTACATGATAGTTTATTCGTTTCATTAATTCAGAAGAAAGGTTAAAACTAGCCGAATAATGACTTGTTCTACAGCATTGGCGATGGAGGATTTGCGGAATGTAAATAAAGTATTCCATTTAATTCATGGTAGACTCGTATAATGACAATAAATGCAAAGGCTTTATTTTATTTAATGTATGATTATTGTAATCCAGAAACAAATTGATTAATTTATAAAATATGAAAAGTTGAAAATGGTGACACTGTGTGAAGTTTAGAAACGCTTAAGGTGCTTCGTTTCATATTTCATTCATAATTTACCGTACCCTGGTTCTGGTAGGAGGGAATTCTTTCGAGGCAGTTCGCAAGAAGTTACGTTTGTAGTTCATTGGACTAAATCCATGGAGCAGAGTTCCTGAGGTGTTTAACCATTCCCTCCTTAATTTTTGTTTCGCCTTTCTGAATTATGAGTAGAGTTAATTATGAAAGACATTCGGGACTGGGAATTATGTTGAGAGTACGCCGCCTAGCTAGTTGGTAAGCGTAAGTTGTCAGGCCATATGAATTGGATTTGATTGCATCTTGAACGACGTAATGGAGGTGCAATGGTGAAGTGTAGAAGTTTGTTTAGTTGCACGCATGTCATCAGAACAAGTCACTGTTCGCTGTTAATGTATATGTAGTTGGATTACTGAGGAAGACTTTTGTATTAATCACTGTCTCGTTGCAGTAATTGCGAAACGTCAGGTTATTTGGAATAATATTGATCAACTGAGAAGAAAGTGAACTTATATGTAAAATACACGTTTTGCTCGCGGTGATTAACGTTGTGTAGAAATTATTACGTGCTCCTTCGGACTGGAAGTACGAATGAGATGTGTATGATGCGAGAGCCACGAGCAATGCTGTATATCAAACACCCGGTTGTTTGCAAGTCCAGTGTCACGAGCAGTCACGAGTCAGTTGCTGTAATTTCTCCTCGGAATCTTATTGAAGACTGCATCTTCAGCGACAGAGGGGTAAAGGGGTGGCATGTAGCCGATGATTATTATTCCTGTCATGGCGTAGCGTTCTACCCTCAATGTGCACAGCCTCCAGTGCAGCGATTTGGTAGTAATAGAAAACGAGCTATAAGCCCCAGATCGAGAAAAACGTCTTAAATTCCAAACTAGAGCAGTTTATGGCCTGCATCCTGCTTCTGGTAAGCAGAGCCGATACCTCCCGATTCAACTTGCATCCAACATTTCTTAAATTTAATTCAAAACAGGTACAGGGTACAATTATAAAAGACAAGTCCATCCACTGTGACTATTTCAGTTTTCTCATTTGATGATTCACTAGCCTTACATGTTTCGATCCATTTGGATCATCTTCAGAGACACCAAACACTTTTTAGAAACCACTATCACAACAGTTGTCATATCAATGACTTCCAGTGGCAGACGTTTCCCTTACTCTGGGTTCCCAAACTATCCCCGTGCCTCAGCTAACACCTTCTAACAGCAAAGGCTCAGAACGACTGAATTTCAGTTCTCTGACTTAACTCACCAACCAACTCTTCACTTTCCTGCATTTCACTTAACTGAACTTGCTTCAGAAATTATCCTGCATGTAACATCTAGGCACGGATCACACAGGAAACACCATTTTACAACTATTCCATTGGCGCATGTTTGGAATGTTGCCTAGCAGTGGGCGTTTTATGTTGTTTGTTTTGCAGTCATTGCTAAACAGTGGGTCTCTTATGCCACAATATTTATGGTTTTATTCCAGGCGCAACAATGTTTCAGTATTACATCAAGATAGTGCCAACAACATATGTTCGAAAAGATGGTGCAGTTTGGCAGACAAATCAGTTTTCTGTTACAAGACATCAGAAGGTATGCTGTTGACTTGATTTGCTTTAACTCTTAATAATGTTTATAAGTTCCCCCCCCTCCAGATTTGTACTGTGGTCTCCTGGATTTTGGCACGCTGTAATCTGGTAGGTGGATACCAACATTTCAGAGGAACATACTGCCTCAATCTACAGGATAGAAGTCTCTACTTCAAAGATAAAAAAAGCCAGTATGTTCGTCTGATGAAACACTGTACTCACCTACCACACTACGTGGTGTCATATCCCAGCAGACCACAGTATTGTCACGATTTAAGGTTGTGACTGTAGAGGGTATATGAATTGGATATATTTACTACATGTACACATCACTCAAAACTACAAGCAATTACAGCGCTATCGCTAATCTCCACAATTCACAGATCACTACAACATTCGCTGAGCCTTTTTGCAGTCAGATCTATCTTCAGCAGCTGTTCCATAGCAGTGGCTTCCAACATTGGAGATCCTTCAGCTTCCCGCGCTCACATCGTTACTGTCTGGTGAATTTCTCGCAACTGAACTCTTTTTGTCTTTAGCCATCCTTGCAGAGTTTGACTCAACTGCCAACCCTCAGCTGAACTGCCGACGACTCCAACAGCTGCTTCATTGTCAAAGTTACTGTATGACTGTTGGTTTACCACTATTCAGTTCATCTTGCCATCAAGTCCCTTGAGACTCATGACCAGAGATTTTTTTTTCAACTGAACCCTTACGGCCTTATACGTGTATAACATCCTCTCTGATGAGAAGATGGGTTTGCTGTCTCTTATGAATATACTTGGCTTTTACCAAGTGTACATATCACACATATAGCATGTTACTGAAAATTCTTCCTTGTGCACTATATACAAGTCCTCTGTCAGCACAGGCTTTGCAAAGCAGATCATGCCTATCTTACGCATCTTATGCTACAAAAGCAGCTTAGTCCCTTGAAGAGCTGTAAGCTTGACCACTGCCAAATTTAAGCCTCTTATATTTTCTGTGTCTGGCTTTGCCTTGTCCTGTGCCGCAAACGTGTTCATTCTCGTGATTTTATATGACTTCTGCTTGTTAACTGCACAAACTGTCCTGCTTGTAACATTTCGGCATGGACCACACCAAAAACACCATTCTTCTGTTGTTGTGTTGGTGTCTGTTGCAGTGGAAATGTGTTTACCAAACCATTGCTTAGAAACAGGTTGCATAACCCGATTGTTCTGTTGTTACATGTGTGTATGTTGCAGGCGTTACCTAGCAATGGCTATTTACAGAATCACTGCTTAGAAACGGGTCTGTATAGCACAGTATGAATCTAATAGCACTTATTGAAGGATACACTGCAGAAAGGAGAACATTGCATGTGGTATTGTATTATTGTAACATGCATTATATGAAACATGTAATGAGATTGGGAATCAGTGTCATTACCAGGAGACCCAGTAAAAAGTCTGTTATGCTCATCTCTCACAAAACAAAGTAACATCACCCCATTAAAGACCTGCAGAAATTTGAAGTTGCTATCCTGCAAGTAATAGAAGACAGTGGTAATAAACAGTTTTTATGCCACAGACAGTATGCAATAATCCTATGTTCATTCACTCAAGAAACAAGATAATTGTTGGGTTTGAATTAGTGTACATAATTACCTTATTGTTCTCTACTATTTCATTAGTTATAGCATGAAGTGCCATCTGTACTTTATATTTTGAAGTATGTATTATAAATAAATTCATATTCTGGGGCCAAGAAGACTAGAATCAGTTTAAAGGTAATGCAGTGAGGTTTAAAATTTAAGGACTTGCTGCTTTTTTGAAGAGACCAGTTTATACATAGTTAAACTTCCTGTTTCAACATTGTACGTAGTATTTCCACTGCATCGCGGGTTTGAGCCAAGGTCTGGTCACGTGGGATTTGTGGTGGACAAAGTGGCACTGGGACAGGTTTCCCCTGCCAATTCTCATTCCACCGACTGCTTCATATTCATCATAATCCATCATCTTGGGCTGGTACAATAGGCCAATTAGTGGCTGATGTACCAAGTGGACTTGGTCTCACCCCACCCCAAGAAACTGATAAAAAACTAATGCTGGCTTGAAACGTTACTGATTTAAGGCTGGATGACAATGGCTGTAAATGTAAAATATATGTTCTCACTCATCCCAGGTTGTATCCATCAGCAGTGGAGAGTCCGGAATGCCTGGTATATTTTTCAGTTATGAACTTGCTCCCATGATGGTGAAATATACAGAAAGACAAAAGTAAGTATTATTTGTTCATCACTGCATTATGCTGTTAATGAAATGACACCACTTAGATTTATGCATTACTGTGCCCAATATATTTGTACAATCTTCTGGGATGTAATACTGTGTAGTCTGATAGAAGGTCCAGGTGATCTTCTGCTGGTCTGCATGGCATTACATCCCAGAAAATATAACTCTTCATAGTCACTGCTCTGAGGACCTCAAATCAAACATATTTATATTATTGTTTAAAGCTATTATTTTGGACTTCATCCATCATCTAAAGTTATTAAAACCACCACATTTCAGAATTGGTTTTATTTCCATCTTTACCTGAATTTCTTAAATGTCCTGGTTTTAATAAACTCATATGATGAAAGAATTCCAAAACAGTAGCTTTAAAAAATGTCAGACCATCCTCAAAAAAAGGTTTAAATTTAATTTATATCTGTAATACTCTGATCTCTGCATGCATTGAAATAAACTGAAGCAAAACTATTTAATTTTTGTGATTTAGTTCAACATTCTTATTGGATCTACAGGATTCATGGTTGTTCAACTTATACTTCCTACTGTTTGGCTGGCTTGTAAGGAATGTAATTATTCTTCACATATGTTTCAGATCCTTTGGCCATTGTGCTACTAACATCTGTGCTATTATTGGAGGCATATTTACAGTTGCTGGTATTATAGATTCTTTGCTGTATCATTCAGTGAAAATGATACAGAAAAAAATTGAACTGGGTAAGGTTAATTAAAGTAAAAATGTCATGATACTAAGCTGCAGTAATCTCTATGCGTGAATCAAATGAGAAAATACAAATACTAGTTAAATGTTAATAGACTGGGAAGTATGACTTCTGATGTAGAGAGAGACTATTTTACAGCATCTGCTTTACATTGGTTTTTGTACAGGAGCCATAAACCAGATTTACATTCACTTAAGAAGCACAGTCCCCAGCAATTTTCTCAGCTCCATCAGTGGAGCTGAGAAATGTATAGATATGTCTGTACACGTGTTACACCTGCATAATATCCACAGTCCCAAGAAATAATAGGTTCTGCCTTAAGTTGGAATCTGCTTTACCCGAGAGTGGCCTGTGTCCTAACCAGTGTTAAAATGTACAGGCTATGTTGGAAACACAAAGTTGAAGCAAGTCACAAAGAAATTTCATTAAAGATTTTGAAGTTTTTGTCAAATATGGAAAATAAAATAGCGATTGAAAGGTGATTTCCTTCTTGCTATCATGATGGCAAGTAATGGAAGCATTGTGATCAGGCATGTGAAATTTTAAATGCTGGAAGACCATAAACCTTTCAGGTTATATCTGTAAACTTCCTGTTATTTATTATTGCAAGTCTCTGCTAATGGATATTTCTTACGAAAGTAGGTTTTTAATTATTTATACAAGCAGTGTGGCTGTTTTAAATATTCAGTAGGAAAAATTTAAAAGAAACTTTTTATACTCTGATAAAGGCATCATTAATTCTTCAGAGTTATAAATTTGTACTCCCCTCTGTGTATCCAAAATCTTATGAATGAAAGAGGACTCATCACAGTATTGGTACGCTTGTATATAAATCTACTCCTTTTTAATATTATTGTTTTGATGAATTTAGTATTATCTGTTTCACTTTTGAAGGTCATGTAGTTTTAATGTGACCCAACATAATCATGGTATGTTGAAATGAGTGCTGCAATGGAGATATTTTAAAAAGGCATAGACAGTATTAATACCTGTGAAAATATAATTTATTTAACAATGCTGTTGAAATGCACAAGAACTGTGACTCTGAAACAGGTTTTTAATGGCACAGAGATCAGAGAGGGTAGTAGATGCTTTATAAGTGTGTGTTCGAATGAATCAAGACATATTCGTATATACCACAGTTGTACTCTTCAGTCAACAGTTATTTTGTGTTGTCATTTGCACAAGGATCTCTTTTTTTTTACAAGTAAACCACTGGGAGTTGGATATGATCACTTACCTCGATCCATCTAGCATAGAGATTTAGAATATGTGTAGTGTAAATCAAGAGTTCTGTGTCTTTATATTTGGGAAGGGGCATGGGAAAATTTACCTTTCGTTTGTGATTTGTATAAGGACTCTTCACTCGTCCTTACAAGAGACTGGAGTGGTGGATGATGATATGCATTATATTCATCCAAATAATAAATATTTTGTGCACAAAATTTACTTTTCTTTTTTATCAACAAACTGAACCGCAGAATACCGCTGTAGACAGATTCTGTATTCAAGTTCACGAATCTCATAATGATATACTTTTATAAAATTTATGTTTAGCAGATACTCGTATATGATGTAAAGGGATACTGCAGTAAATGAACTGTTGCTATTTTTATTGTGCTTTGTTCTTGCTTTACATGCCTAACTTCATATATATTTTGATTTGTTTGGAAATTGTTGCTGCACACTCAATACTTGTGGTGTTAAGGGACGTTTGATATGATATATACCAGTATTTAATATTGATGTAAGAGACACTGTTCAATTAAACAGGACATGTTTGACATATAACTTCATAGTTTATTAAATTCCATTACCGTTTATTTTTTTTTTAATTTTTATATAAACACAGAAAAACTAGACTCCATCATGACGTAGAAAATGTTCTGGAAACAAAAACTTATGACAACTTTCCTCCACGTCTGTATATTTTTTTATTGGTTTGATTTTGAATTTATTTAGATTCCATAAATCCAAGTACAGATTATGACTCTTCAATATCTGACAGATACATCCTCAAAAATTTGTACCCTTGATATGGTTTTAAAATATGTTTGTTATATGCCAAGCAGTAAGTTACAAAATGTGAACTCAACAACAAGCACCCATACACACAACAGTATACACATTACAGATCCTCAAATAAGAACAAATATGCAAACAACCACAGCAACAAAAAACCATATATAATTGCATCCACATCTTATCATCATCTGTACATTTCATAAGCTGATTTAATGCTTCCTAAGTTTAGACTTCATATGGCACATTATTAATGTGGCAATACTGAAAACTTCCATAGCAAAATATGTTTCTTTTGACAGGTTAATTTCCTGATTTATATGTCTGCTCCATGATTCAAAGTTCTTGGGTCCTGCTGGTTCTTCTATGTAAAAGTCCTGTTTCCCCTAAAATGTAATTACTTGTTAGATTTGAAGGTCTCACAGTGGTGAATATTAAGATTATGATCTTATGAAAGAAGTTCTTCTAGCCTGAAGATGAGGCAGCTGTTTCCTCCAAAATGTTGGTACCTCTCTGCTGGACCACATGGCCTCATATGCCCAAAGACTGTTCTCTTAATGTAATTAATTTACCAGATTCTTTCCTCTTTAAATTGATTTAAGAAATATATTGAAAGCTTCAACTGACGATTTGGCCACAGTTTGACAAAATTCCGAATCTGTGCCAGAAACTATAGCTTTAGGTGAAATGTAGCCTTCTAAATTTGGATTATACTGTGCTCGACCCAAAAGCTCCAAGAACAGGTGACGCTGTTTAAGACGAAATGTTCTAGTCCTGAGAATTTGTGGAAAATTAACAATCTGTTGGTGTGTCAACTTCATGATATTATGTGCATAATCAAACACTGACAGAAGCGGTTTGTTACCTGAAATAAGAAAGAATATTAACATTTAGAAGTATTAACTCAAATGTAAAATTCATTTTACATGTTCAGTTACAATAAAACATATCTAAGGTGCAAGCACATGCACACATTCACATAGGAGTGTACTAAAAATGTCAGGTAGGTTTTAAAGCTGGAACAAAAACTGTAGGATTCTTGGGATACATAGGACTGTTGTGAATCAAGTAATAAACTCTGTTTTGACCCGTAATTTTAAGACCATTTCTTTCTAGCAGAAGTGAGGATTTAATTACTCACTCTTCATCCATAATTTTGGTGCCTGTAGCAGCAAACTTCTCAATTCATCATCACTAAACCCCATTTCTTCTTTTAGTGAAAATGTATTCAGCTGAAATATAAAGCACATTATAATTATGAGCGGCTGCTCTTATGAAATGTGAATGTCTAAATTTTGTTTAGTTTTAGATGAACAGCACATTATACACTTCAGCTCTGCAGCAGGAGTGAATGGGTTAATTTTATATTAAATAATATTTGTTTTATTGGTGTATTCTAACCAAGCAGATCCTTGGTAACCATTAAAAATATTATAGCTAATTAAATGAATACCTTAATATGAGTCATGTCATATGTAATAAGTTTTGGCCGTTTTAATGTGAGATATCGGACTTCATCACCAGTTAACTTGAAAGTCTTCTGAAAATGGCCTAATCTTTGATCAATCTCTCCAGTGCTACCAACAGAAAAGAAAGAACAGATTCTTATTTAAAATGTTTCTACAACCAAGAATCAGTCATGTGAAACGCTATACACACTTACTCATAGACTGTACCTACAGAGTTACCAGGACATATTCCTGAGAATTGACTATTCCTTTTACTAATAATATGCATTCTCTGAATTTCATAATGTTGATCATGGAAGATGTAGCATATTTTTATATGGTGACAAATTTAAATTCTCATAGACTGTACCTACAGTTACCAGGACATATTCCTGAGAATTGACTATTCCTTTTACTAATAATATGCATTCTCTGAATTTCATAATGTTGATCATGGAAGATGTAGCATATTTTTATATGGTGACAAATTTAAATTCTTGTATCTAAGATTTGAAGCTTTCATGATGAATAAATTAACTAAAATAATCTTGGGCAAACAGCTGTGTCAGTGGTAAGTTAAAAACCAAACTGGAATGCTCTAATAATCTGGTGCTGGTGTTCAATGCTTTGCTAAATTTGAATTCCTCCCATCTGTCGATATTGTTCAGGTGCAAGGAAGGAGTGAATCTTAGCAAAGCAAGAAACTTAACACCAGATTATCAGAGCTCTCCAATGCACACAGATGATAAACCCAAAAGAACAAGCATTGGGTTAAGTAACAAGGTAAGAGGTTAGAGCCAGGTAAGTGACTGCAAAATTTGATTCTGCCATGCTGTTTTGAAGAGATAGAAAAAATGTAGTATAATTGGTCTGTGGCAATTTTAATTTGTTACTATTCCCCTGCAACATTTCTCATAACAATCTTATAATAAACATTAAGTGGATGTAAGTTTTGATACTTCAGAGCTGCAGATGGAGGCAGCACCTTCCAAAATTTCAGCTGTCTGCGTACAAGACTACATGATATCACAACCCAGATGACAAATAGGTAATTGAAATTAAAACGTAGTATAATTCTGTCATAAGAAAGAAAATTTATACTGTACCTGAACACCAACCAACGTGGATTTTTTCTTACTATCCTTGTTATCATATCTGCTAAAAATTTCTTTGATTGGAGGTAGTTAACACGAACTTGAAGATCATCCAGATCTTCCTTAAATATCCATGGATTTATAGTTATGAAGTGTCCAAGTTCATCTGATGGAACACCCAAAGCATGTAGAAATCTAAAAAGCAGAAACATTCCACAGGCAATGCTAGTGATGTCCATCGAGCCCCCCCCCCCCAATAGGCTAACAGCTGATGTTACATTCAACTAATGCCGTTTTCTTACTAGCGCACACACCAGTCAAGGAGGATGAGATGGGCAGGGCATGTAGCATGAATGGGGGAGAATAGGAATGCATGTAGGATATTGTTGGCATAGCCAGAAGGAAACCCCACCAGGAAGACCAAGATGTAGGTGGGTGGACAATATTAAATAGGATCTCAGAGTGATAGGATGGGATGGTATGGTATGGATTAAATTTATCTGGCTCAGAATAGGTACCAGTGGAGGGCTCTTGTGAACATGGTAATGAAACTTAGGGTTCCATAAAATGCTGGGAAGTTCCTGAGTAGCTGCACAATTGGCAAAACAGTGTGAGGGATCCAGCAAATATATTTTTATAAAAAAAGTTCAGACATGATGGTATATGGTTCAGAAATGGGAATGCTAACATTCATAATTTCTAATGCTGGTATAATCCAGTCATCTAAGGTATACAGATTACTCTGACAGTTACAAATATTTCTAAGGCCTTAAAGTGAATACATAATAAGCCATAAGAATATGGCTACCTAGGATGCCTTTGGCATCTACAAAAATGTAACATTTCAGTAATATAGAAATGTTAAGCATAACAGAGCAGTGAGCTGATGTCTTACATTATAACTTATTACCTAATATGCTCCTTCATGTTTTTATTGAACTCCAGCTGTAGAATAAATTCAGGTACACCTTTCTTTTTCTCAAGACTATGCAGATTGACACCGAGTTTAACTAATTCTTGGAGTGTTGGGGAGTTGTTAACATAAGCAGCAAAATTGAATGAAGGTCGAAAGTATGGTGCTACAGTTGATATATCTTCATTACATGGTTCTATTATTGAAGTGTCCTCCTTTCTTTCTGCATCTACTTCCTTGTTCTGTTCTAAGTTTACACATTCATTTTCAACTTCCACTGAGGGTAATTTTTCTGAACTCCATGATGTGCCATTCTGCGCTTGATCTAGTATGCATCTACTGTTCAATCTACCATTTATACTCTCCAACTGTGTGGTACAGAATGTTCTGCATGATTGCACGGGCAACCCTTGTAAAATGGTTGTGCCCACAGGATTTATTACAATATTTCGTATGCAAGCTATGACTGATCTCATTTTAATGTTGACTGGGTGGCTGGTCGAACTATAACTAAAATTATATTTACACTACAAAAAGGGCTTTCACAGGAACACCATACACTGAGTTTCCAAAATATAACTACAGCAGGCCGTTGTAGGTTAGGATGCTTTATTCTTCCGAAATGCATATAGTTGGGTGCATCCTTCGTAAATATGAATATAGAAAGTACATTTTAAAATAGAGATGTATTTATTTCAGACATTTCCACTACCCTACTCTACTCTACCATCATGAACACATGTCACAATCCTCATGGGAAATTTCACTCGAAATAGCAAAGCGAGAGTATTTACAAATACCTATCACTACCACATTCGTTCTGTCATGGATCAGTAAGTACTTAGGGTTCTACAGGTCTGAACGGTCTGAACGGTCTGAACCTTTCTATGATCCGTGCTAAGTGTCATATACCTAAGTTCCGGTGGAGCAGGAGCAGAAGTTTTATCGCTCAGAGAACCGACCTCTCAGAGGACTGTTGTGCTAGATCTAAAATCCTCAATCAGGAGACTGGGAAGATTACTGTGAACTGCGATGTGACCTGTGCAGATGATATTTTGATTGTTCAGCTAATGATGGAGGGTAGAGAGCAAAGTAGAGATGGAGGGGACACAGTTTTGAAACATCTTTTATTTGTTGATCATTGGGTACCTTTTGATGCAGTTTTTTAAGTAAGTTACCGGATATAATGAGACACATAGCAAGGCATGACGGCCTAGACCTAGACCACGGATCAGATTAAGTGATCATGTCATGGAACCAAATGACTACTATGATCCCCCCCCCCAGTACTACCTAAACCTAAGACCTACATTTTATTCGAAGCGAAGGATTGATAAAGGAGTAACTAGAAGGGGAAGCACAATAGATTACTGACGGTAGCAGTACGTGGAGCATATAATTTTTGTACACTCCTTATGTAGTAATTCGATAGTGATCCCGTCTTGGTATTGTTGATGATGTCGCCATCTTGTAGCAAACAATTTAATCAACCATTGACCAACCTGCAAAGCAACTTGCATGTCCAGTGTACACAACGTATCGTACTGGTTCATCAGAGGACTATAGATGACGATAGATGACGCTAGAAGCAAGTGCTGGTGGGAGGTGTTCGTTCTCTTATTCTCTTATGTAGGTGGTGGAGGTGGTAGAAGAGGTAGAGAGTTGTGTAGACGTACGTGGTCGAAAGAAGCAGAAGGGTTTTATAGAAAAGTATGGATGCGAAGACTTCAGAATTCCTGTGGAAAGCTTCAAGAATAGTTTCAACGAGATCTGTTCTTCAGTGTCATTATTTGTGAGCATTTGTGTATCGCGTCTTTTGAAGAAGGGGAATGCATGCAGGGTTTTGCTGGGAAAGCCAGAAGGAAAGAGACTAGTAGGAAGACCTAGACGTAGGTGGGAGGGTAATATTAAAGGTTTACCTTATAGGGATAGGATAGGGTGGTATGGACTGGCTTGATCTGGCTCAGAATAGGAACCAATGGAGGGCCATTTTTTACACGGTAATGAACCGTCAGGTTCCATAAAATGTTTGGAAATTCTTGAGTAACTGAGCAGCTGGTGGCGTTTGAAGAAGGAGTTAGTTATATATCGCTTTAATCAAAAGTATAATATAGTTTGGTGCTCTTTAACGACACATAGGTGTAGGTGTACTAAGTTGCGTTATTATATATGATTTTGTAAAAATTGTTTTCAGGGCACAGTGTTTTTTAAGTTAAGAGTTTGTTTCTGGCCTCCTTCCCCTTTAAAGGGGAAAAGGTATTTGCTACATTTGTTTCAGGTTAATTTTATTCTCTTTAAAATTAATACAATATGAATATTAAGAATTCATATACCTGTTATTATTAATTCAGCGATTATTGATAAGGATATAATGATGAAGTTTTCTTTCAGGTCAAAATGTAGATCACTGCTACAAGAGAGTGGGGGTGTGCATTTACCAGCAAAAGCATTTCGTAAATCGTCAATGTGTAGCTTCTGTAGCAATGTATGGATATATGGCAGATGTCATGTATCAGTGATGCCAAGGAAGCCATTGGGAAGGAAGATGAAGAAAATTATTTATAAGCAGGAACAATCCCTGGCACTTAGACCATTTGAGAAGAAACTGTTTGAGAAATATGAAAAATGGAACTATAACAGACTGGTAAGAGTACTTCCAGTAACTTAGATTGGCTTGGAAATTGTACATGTGTTTGGGGGGAGGGTTTGCACAGTTAAGAACTTTAGTGTAAATATTTTTGTCCCATTGTTACTGTTAGCTGTTTTATTGAACAATTAATCACTGGTACTTGTATATCTTGCTTTAGTCATTATTTCTTACTCAGCCATGTCTCGTCATCTTTTCTTTATGTTATGTTCATTGGACTCTTCTTCTTCTTCTTCTTCTTTTTTTTTTGTATATTATTATGCTACATTCACAGTGATCAGTGACAAATTATAATAATCTCCATTTGCTAATTGTTCCAGCAGTGTTATCAACTCATCACTCTAGCCACTGAACTGCAATGTTCATGGAACCAAGCAAAATGTTACTTTCCAAGAAATCCAATTTAAAAGTGTTATTTGCTGATATTGTGGCCCAAACTACATTTGTATTCTTACAACGTTTCATTATTAAGTTTTCTTTTGAAGGAATGGCCAGTTCCATAATGGGTTAAATCTGTTTTCCAAAGAGTTTGATTTTGAAGAATGTCACAGGAAAATGAAACCAGCACGGAACTTTCACATTACATTTAAGGGTTAAGTGACATGTGCAAACATTGTACATTCAGTACTTTTTTTTTTTTGTTGACTAGTGGTTAATGTTAAATTCCATCATTAATTTCGTCCATAGTCTCTTCATATGTTAACTTTGAAATTATTTCAGGTTTTGAAGTGCTCAGTTTGCTGCAAGAGAACCATCATACCATTGTCTAAAGCAATTAAATTAAAGCCATCTGAGGTTCAGAGTGATAATGTTGAAACTCCAATTAAAATTAAAAAGAAGAAAAAGAAGAAGAAAGATACATATGCAGGGCTAAATAGTTCCATTATATCAGCATACACTCCTAAAAGAGAACTCTCAATTTTGAAGAGAGAAAAGAAAAATAAGAAAGATAATAAATTTGTAGATATTAGTCAGTCCATAGAACCTGCAGTCACTCCTCAAGAGCAGCCGACACAATCAAGAAGGAGAAAAGGGAAAGCAGAAGACAGTTCTAATGGTTTAACACTGTTTTCTACAGCTGGACCAAAGGTGCAGAAATTTAAATCAACTGTCAGAGAACAAATTGCAGCAGCAAAACAACAAATTGTATCTTCAAGAAAGAAGAATAAAGAGAGAATGATATTGGAATTAGAAAATACAGCGAAGAAAATTAAAAAGCGTAGTGCTCTGCGGAATATTCTGGCTGACACTTCAGCTGCTTCTCAGAGTCCGAGACCAACGCTTAAAGAATTTTTGGCAAGTTTGAATTAACTCATATCTCTGGTTCATGTTTGTGGATTGCTGATTGGAGATTTACAGTAACAGTTGGAAGTACTGAGATGTTGCTTCATTCAGTGTGAATTCATATCAGTTTCCTGGCTGCAAAGACAAACATGTAATGCAGTCCATGATAACTGGACAGGCTCTTTCTCAAGCCAGTGCAAAATCCAGTATATAAGAGCAAAGTTCAAAGGCTTGGTGCTGTGAAGGTAAGCCAGTTGAACTATTTAGTTACTGTAAGTGTGTAGTAAGAGGTATGGAGTAGTTTGTACTAGATTCATCTGGTTCAGGATGGGGGCCAGTGGCTGACCTTTGTGAACAGACTAATGAACCATCAGATTCCACAAAATTTTGAGAATGTCTTTGAGTAATAACTGAGTGATTCTTACCTTCTCAAGAAGGACTTGATTCCATGGAATTATGTGATTTGTATGAATTTAGAGGTTTCCATAGTATGATACTTCAGGCTGTGGTGTTCCTTGTTATGACACTGGGTAATCTTGTTGGCAGATACCAGCATTTCAGAGGAAAGTGGACCTCAGTCTTTGGAGTTAAGTTTGGCAACCTTCTTCACATTGTTTTATAACCCAACCATTTTTTCACCCTGCACCTTTCAGCCCTGAAGATAGAGGCAGTATGTTCATCTGGAACATTGGTATTGGCTTGCAAGACTACACAGTATCATAACCCAGAAGACTGCAGTGTGTTTGTAGTTAATGTTACAGAGAAGTAATGTTGATTGGTTTCAAGTGGCTCAGGATAGGGACAATTGCTGGGCTGTTATGATTGCAGTACTGGAAGGATGAGAATTTCTTCTCTAGCCGAGTGATTGTTAGTTTCCCGAGAATTACTCTACTTCATGCTGATGATACAATATATTCATTTGGATTAAGTTAAAAATTTTGTCACTTTGCCTAAGCTGTATGCTTCATAAAGGGTGACTGAACAGGCTGGCTTAAGCAGTGACACTTCTGACATGTAGTCAGAGGTGGCTGGTTATATCCTCATTTGGACACTGTCCTGATGGAGGTTTTCATGGTTTTGCTTAGTTCTTCCAGGCAATTTCTGGAGTAGTACCTCAAATTAGTCTATGACCACTTCCTTTCACACCCTTTCTGATTCATTTGCTAATCATCCTACCATTTGTTGCTGTATAGATTTTTAATACTAACAGCATGATTAAATAAACCAAAAAATAAAAGAAAAATCCATTACGGTCTGAGACACTTTCATACCTGTATTTATTGTATTTAATTTATTTATTTATATTTTTTTGGGGGGGGGTGTATTCAGTTTTGTATGGTGATAATTTAGATCCATTAATAAATTTTGTGTAAAATTTTGTAATCAGTAATATTCCTGAAATGGTAGCAACACTACCATAATTTTTTCCATTCTGATGACAACCATGATGATAAATATATTGCATATATTCACGTAGTTATATGAAGATTTCTATCTTCTGGGGGTATGATGCAGTGTATTGTGGTAGATGTTTTTGCTGTTTCAGAGGAATTTCTACCAGATTACATGACATGACATTCCAGAAGACAATAGCCTTCATAGTGACTGCCATGCAAATCTCACATCTTATAGTCATTTATTTCCTATTCAAAGTCGTATTTCATTTTTAGTGTCAGTTAGTACTAATTATTAAATTGCGTGTAACAGAAACCATCTTCGTGGAATCAAAAATCTTTGTTATGCTACATTCTTTATTTTCATGGAAGCACACTGTAGAATTATGTAAAAAGACATGCCTGTCACATTTTTTAGGCTAATTACATACATTTTAAGAATTTGTTACATGTGACATGCTGCTTAATTTAACACAAGGACAATTTTATACTTTTCTTTACCTACAACTTGAGATTCACAAAATCATGCTGAGATTTCAACAGTCACACAAACTAAATTATGTCTGTATCAGTTAACAAACATGTAGCATTTTTGTTGGCTGCTGCAGATACTCATGTGGACTCTTCATCTCTCACTGTCAGTCTAATGGAATTCTTTCTTGAACTACCTGTAAAGCAAAAAATATATATATTAAGTTCACATACAATAAAATTTTTTAACACTTATGATTAAGGACTGCAGTTAGATGTCTAACCATTTGAATCTTGAGTTCATCTAGAAAACTATATAAAACACACCACATCTCCAGCTCGAAGACCATTTAGCTGATGCTGTATAAGGAAGTAATAAAGGTTTACTCTGAGAATCATACAAAACATAAATACACTTGGTGGGTAAAATACAGAATATTTTAATGTTAAAGCAAGTTATGCATGTTATTTACTGCAGTATTTTAAAGGATTAAAGCCTTATGGGTGAGAATCATGTGACATTATAGAAATTAATGTCTGCTGTTGGGAAACTATAAGAAATGAGACACCTTGAAGATCTAGGCGTAGCTGGAGGATAATAATAAATTGAAGTGTGTGTGGACTGGGCTCATGCCTTAAAATAGGGACATATGATGGACCCCATATCTGTATCATTATTTTAATTCCATAGATCCTTACTGGCTGCCGAAGCCATCAGATATAGAACATGTCACATATGCATACATTAGTTCAAAAGACAGAACTAGTCACCTCACTACTACATCCATAAAAGAAACAGTAATTATATATAATTCAGTAATTTAACCAGCATACAGGGCTCATCAACTTGACAGTAATACATTATTGAGATCACAGCATAAATATATATCAGATTATAAGAAATTAATTTATAGAATGTACTATATAAACAGCATTGTAAGAGGTTTAATTGATCTTGCATTTAAAACATTCATCTAATGTATAAAATAAATGGAAGTACAAAAAATTTTTCAAGGCAGATTTAAATTGTTTTTTATTATGGGACAGATCCTTTATTGAACAGCTAAACTGTTAAACACCTTAGTCCCAGTATAATATGTTCCCTTCTGATAAACTTACAAATGAGACGGTGGATGCAAATAGATTTGGTCCTAGTATTAATATTACATGATGAATTTTCAGGCTCTTGCAGGAAATTCCTTGACTAGCCGAACAACTGTTAGCTTCTCAAAGGACTGCTGTGTATATGAGAAACTGATTACCTGATATGAAGGCATCCAGAATTCTCATTCAGCTAGAAAAAAAAATTTTTGAAGAAAAGTAACCCTGACCTACTTATTTTTTACCCTGAAGATGGAGGCGACATGTACCTTGTAAACATCAGTTAACTTTTAGGGGACTAGACAGCATTATATCCCAGAAGACAGAACTCTCCATTTTTATAACGTTATTCAAAAACCATGTGCAGTGTGCACGTGTTCACCCACCATGCAGTAGTTCTCCTAGCAGCCACTAACAGTGTTACCTGTCATTCTCCCTTATATATACGAGGGGGGACCCAAAAATAACCGGAAACGACCTGTTGCGCGCGCATGCTTTGTAGTTACGAGTTGTGCTGCTAGGTGGTGTTAGCTGGGGGTCTCCCGCGACTGTTAGTGAGCTGGCGTCAGTCTGAGTTAAGTGGTTTGTCTGTGGTGCTCTGTTGTGTGCGTTCCTGTTTCAACCCTTTGGCGATTAGTGAGATGGCCGACCAGAAGGAACAAAGAGTGTGCGTGAAATTTTGCTTTCTGTTAGGGAAAACTGCAGCCGAGACTGTTGGGATGCTTCGGCAAGCCTTTAATGATGATGCTTTGGGGAAATCACAGGTCTACGAGTGGTTTTCCCGTTTCAAATCTGGCAACATGTCAACAGAAGACATGCCACGCCCCGGGCGTCCTTCGACAGGAAGAAATGACGAAAACATTGCCAAAATCAAACGTGCAATTGATGAAGATCGTCGAAAGACCATTGACCAACTTTCTGAGGAAACGAACATCTCATGGAGCACGGTCCAGCGAATTTTAACCGAAGGTTTGCACATGAGACGGGTGTCTGCAAAATTTGTTCCTCGCTTGCTCGGAGATGACCAGAGAGAAAACCGCGTGAATGTTTGCCGCGACTTGAAGAGTGAAGTGCAGTTTTCCCTAACAGAAAGCAAAATTTCACGCACACTCTTTGTTCCTTCTGGTCGGCCATCTCACTAATCGCCAAAGGGTTGAAACAGGAACGCACACAACAGAGCACCACAGACAAACCACTTAACTCAGACTGACGCCAGCTCACTAACAGTCGCGGGAGACCCCCAGCTAACACCACCTAGCAGCACAACTCGTAACTACAAAGCATGCGCGCGCAACAGGTCGTTTCCGGTTATTTTTGGGTCCCCCTTCGTATGTCATTATGGTAGAGGCTAGTTGAATTTGCAGTTTTGTTCCAGTATAAGTATCTGAAATCTTTCACACATTTATCCACCATATCCTAGGAAGGTCCCCAAGCAAAAACTAAAATGAAAACATGTTCTTCTGACTTTGTATTGGGTTTCTATAAGAACTTTTCTCATGTAGCCAGCAGATTCATGTAACTGCCATACCCAGGTTTCCGTACATGCTGGATAATGTGTAGTTCTCTGTAGTCACATAGTTGGGTCTTGAATTACTACAAATAGTTTGTGTCGGACGAATATTATAGAAACTTATAACAACTTTATATTTTGTTGAAATGTGTGACTGGTAGTTGGAAGTGTACAAAAACACTTTCAGTTAAGTTGGTAGCAGTAACTTGTTCATTAATTATATATTTCTATTACTTCAGCCCTGTACTTATTCTCTTGCACTTTATTTGTGCAAATAATTGCTGAACTTAACGTGAATGCGTATATGAAGTCGAACTGGGCTTCTTTGGTTAAGAAAGAGGATGAGGAGAAGAAGAAGAATATACATTTTAACCAAATACTTCACTGATTTTCGTCCACGAAATAAATAAGTAGATATATTGCTTTTTGTTCACATCAGGAGGTCCATTTTTGAAAAGATTACTAGTTTATGGCAGACCTGTATAATGTAGTTATGATGAAGCTAGAAATCTTGAGGCTGGTATTGTTGTTTAGAGAATCATTTTTTCATTGTATGGGAATAAATTTTAATATGGGAACATCTTGAAAGTTAAAATTACTGTTTTCTTGGATGTGCTGTGTAATATTTTGTTGGCATTTCAGAGGAACATGTTTCTTTCATCTTCAGAGAATTCTTCAAAATATCAGTAAATATCTACCATAGTACATGGCATCACATCTCGAAAGAATTTAATGAAGGAAATAATGTAATATTAAGGTAGAACTTAGCGAAGTAAGTTATGAGATCAGAAAGCAGATGTGATAATCCTGTGTTTCTGAAGTGTTTGACTGCTGTAGAAAGGTATGCTTTTCCTTCATTATTCAAGTTGTGACTATAGGGCTTCACATTTATTTCACATCCATTGCCCGAAATACATTTAATATGCAAAACATTTTGAAAATTTTCTGTACTCCCATCTTCAGGTGATTGGTTATAAATATACTAACATATTTTGCTTGAACTTTCATTTTCAATATTGATGATAATAAGTGGAGCCTTTCAAATATCTTATAGGCCAACCAGACTCTTTGTTATATTCTGTTCAGAAAGTAACCATCTAATACCATACATAATTTAATCAGTAATTGATTACTAATGTATAGCGTCAATATTGAAACCATTTTTAATGACCTACAAACACAAAGCTGTTACCTGACCATACATGTTTTGGCCATTATGTTATCTGTGAAATTTACTTATGGCATAAATAGTTTATAACATGGGTACTGAAGTTCTCCGAAGGCACCTACTCAGTATCAAGGGTCTGTTATATGTATTGTTATTGGCTTCTCAAGAACTCATGGAGTTGATTAGTTAGTGCCAGCTAATATACTCTCACAATTTATATGTCTAACTATAGACAGAGTGTGGACTGGTGAATAGATTTATTGACCACTTATACACATGACTCTGAACTACAAGCACTTACAACACTATCACCAGTCTCCACACTTTACAAATCACTTCACACTAAGTCTTGTCCGGCCTGCAGTGTCTTCACTGGTCATTGCTTGGTATCAGCTTTCAGCAATAGAGATTCTTCAGCTTCTGTTCTCATGTCGTTACTGTCTGTCACATATCCCACAACTGAACTATAGTGCCATCCCTTCTCAGTCTCCTTGCAGAACTCAACTCTCAACTGACTACTGACTGGATCGCCCCCAGTTGTCTTTATAATCCCATTGATTGGATGGAGTAGTAAACACCATTTCAACAATAACTCTGTTGTTGCATGTGTGTTCATTGCCGCGGGAATGTGTTTACCGATCCGTTGCCTAGAAATGGGTTGCATAACACCTTTGTTTATTCGCCTGTCTTGCAGTAATTGTGTAGCAACGGCTATACATGCTACAATACTAATGGCTGAGCCTGTGTCAACTTACATACTAATGTGTTATTGTAAGCATTAGCTCAATGGCAAAACAGTATGCAACAACTGAAACTAATGGAATCAGAGAATGCTGAGCAAGAGCAAATTTGAAAAAAAGAGGGGACAGATGTTTTTTACAATGGTATGTTGATATAATTATTGACTTTTTGGACATTTCCAATTGTCCTGTTTTAAATAATAATAATGATGATGATAATAATAATAAACCAAGACAATGGATAATGTCTAACGAGGGGATCAGAGCTGGATATTCTAGTAACCCATTCAATTTTCTGGTCATTTTTATGGTCTCAAATACTTATTAAGAGGGCTGTCGTTAAACATTTCAGATAGTTGTCTGGAAATTAAGTTTGTGACCTATCAGAGTTTGAATTGTTAGGTTTTTCATTGGTGTATACTTGTTTTCAGTGACAGAGCAGAGTCCATATTGAGAAGCTGTTTGTCACTTAGCCAATTAAGAAATTTCCTGGCTTTTGCAGACCCCCAAAGGTCCTTTACCATTTTCACAAGAGCCATCCACTGAACCCTATCTTGAGACAGCTGAATCCAGTTCACACCCTCACTTTTTGTGCCTTTTTTTAAGATTCATTTTAATAGTGTCCTATCATCTGAGTCTAGGTTTTCAAATCTGCCTCTTCTCAGGTTTTCTGATTAAAAGGTTAAATGCTTTTTTAACCTCTCATTCATCACATTCTCTTTCATTTGACAATGTTTACATATAACATCCTCCTATTAACTCCTCTGTCTGAAGTCCAGATGTTTCCCCCAACACATTCTCAAACACCTTCAGTCTAAATTCTTCCCTGTAGGTGACACATGCAGTTTTATGTCCAGACAAATGACATTAATGTACTGGTAATAGATTGAGATTGCATTTTGAAGTAGTTGCAGATAAAGTTATTCATATGTTCATGGTCATCTTGTGTGTTTCAAATAAATTAATTTTCTTCTTGTAATGTGTGTACAGTGTCCCTATATGCCAGTATTGATGAAAACAGTTAGGTGGTATATGTCAGCTTTGCAGCTCCAAGTTTAAGTTTATGAAGTTACAGCTTCATATCAGGTCACGCTTTATTGCTACGTGTATTGTTATGCCCAGTTGTTTTGTTCTGATGTTGATACTCATGCCATTTGCATGTGTGAAGGTGGCACATTTATATTGTACAGATGTTTGTTGGCAAGTTCATAAAATGTAAAATTGACACACCTTGGCACATAAAATCCTGTATTCGTCGTCGGTAGTATTGGCCCCTTTGGCAGGTAGAGCCATTCCCCTGCGTCTTATCTCTTGTTGTATATCCGTCAGATCAAATATACTGATGGGGTCAACCTTGTGTCTGGCAATGAGCCCCACTAAATATTCAGTGTAGTGTTGCCTGGGGGGAGGAGACAAGAAAACAAAAAATAAAAAAGCGCACACAAAATAAAATAAGTACCTTGAGCAAATGATCCCGATAGATGAGGTCCAATGTTCCATATGGTCTGGGAGGTAAGCGCATGCTTGCTCGTCTAACAAGAGTTTCGAGATCACCTGTGCTTAGAATGCTTAATGTATCCAGTGAGTGCTTCCAGATTAGTTTACTTAAATACTCTACATAGTGCCTCCTGGAATGGAAAGATTAATTTCCTTTTGTAAATTGACATGGTAACATTTAATTTGGAAAAGTAAAAGGAAGGGTATATTTGTCGTGTTTGCTGTAAAGTAGACAATATTGAATCCTTCAGTAATATGATGATATTTTGACATAGTATATCTTCCTTTTGCAGACCTCAAATCATCTTTTCATAGCAAATAAGATTATATAGTCTGGACACTGTCAAGAGATTAACTCACCACTTAATATAATTCTAAATTACAGTATGTTAATAATTGAGGACTGTGTTCAGGTATGTTTGTAGAATTGCTTTCCTCTTGAGATATTTCCTAAATAGGAAATTGAAAACTTACTTTAAGTGACCAGGATGAATATCTAATTTCCAATTCTACGATTAATTTGCAAGTCATACCTGCATTGTGTGAAGCCTTATTTCACACTCTTTAATGCAATTGAAGAAACAGACACTAGGTTTTTGGGCCCTCACCTGCAGAGTCCTGCCTGTCCTTCTGCAGTATCTCCATTGCAGACAGTGTCAATCATTCCTGCAGGCGTTTCCTTTTGCACTTGTACCAGGCACTTCAAAGTTTCACCATTCTGCTCTTGAGTTTTCAGGTTTGTTGGTAGCTCTGTGTCAAATGCGATGTTGTGTTCCTGTACAGGAAAGTTATTGCTTCCAGTATATTTTGGCACTTTCCAATTACTTAGCTATCATACACTGCATTCAGTAACTTAAATGTGGCAGGAGACATTCAGTGTTGATGTTCTACTGTATTATGTGTAGTATAATAAATATTGTGGCATGTCACTAGAAAGCTGGAAGGAACGGTTGAGATCAGAGTTGATTTCCTAGGCAATGACCAAGGTTCCCACGACAACAGCTAGGAAGCAGAACGCTAGTAATTCCTAACAGTGGAGTTTTCACCGTTACACACAAATTGTTGAAGCAGCCTTTCGGTAGCAGCAAGCAGAATGAACCTTTCGAGATGGGATTACCTATTGAGTGCACATGGAATTTGTAAGAGTCCAACTGCGACAAGAGACAAGTTCAGTTTTTGTGCTTGACCTTAGAATAGTAGTCAGTCTTCAGTTTGGATTCAACTATAGCAGGAGCAGTAATTGTGATACTGAAATTGTTAGTAATTGTGCTTGCAAGTGTAGAGGGGATTGGCCAATAAACATATTTGCCAAATCTGAGACCCAGATGAATTTTCTTGTCACGTTACGTAAGCAACATGTGACAATATTGTTTATTAGGATCACTGGTTAGGATTGCATATTATTGAGCAAGTTGGCTCAAGTGGTAACACTTGCGACTTGTATTATGGAAGTGTCTCTTTGAAATCTTGGCCAGGTCAGTATCCTGACTGAGGTTTTCAAGCTTTTTATTAGTCCATCAGGTAAATTCTGGGTTAGTGTGTCAGGCTGTGAATGCTCTCATTCACATCCTTTGTGATTTGTTTATTAATCATCCTGTCATTTTACACTATACAGTCCGAGATACTGAAAGTGCTGTTCTATAAAGCACAGAATAAATAAGATTACATGTACTTTTCCTATTTAGTTGTATAATTTACTGACTTTTCAACTCCATATCAAGTTATATTCAGAGTTTATTATAAGGAGCTGTAACTAAAGTTGAATTGAATAAAATAATGACACTCTAAGTCAAACAACTTTGAATTCATTGCTTTAAAGACCAGTTTGGTCGACATCTTTAATTTTTTGTTTTCATTTCCATTTTAAAGTAAGTGTTGTTTCTTTATAAAATGATCCATTACAAACTAAGTAATTTGGTTGTAATAGATTTAACTTAGAACTGAATATGATATGAAAATCATTGCAGAGATTATGACAATCATACTGACAGCAGAGAAAAGTTGACAGTAAGAGACCATGTTGGTTTTTCCTTCCATTCAGGAGTACACATGGATAATGAAGTGTCATTCCATACTGTCTCCAGTGTCTTGTTTCTCATATTGGAGTCACTTCAGTAGCTTGAAGTTGTTAAGCTATCAGTGCAGTATTCTCTGTGTTGGAAAAGTAATTTAAGGCTTTTTGAGGAAGACGTCTGACACAAAAATTCTGGTGTAAGTCTATAGATGTTTTCCACCAGCTGGTCACAACTTCACTGTAAGGTTTCCCTGATTACTTCCTTTCCAGACACCTATATAAGTTGTAACTGACTATCAGCTGTTATTCCTGGAAGTTATGAAATTCGTCTTTAATTGCCATCTCTATTACCCTTTCAAAGTGACTCACACAGATCTTATGCAATATCTACAAACATCCCTTTGAGTGTGCATCATCAGATAATGGCTTAGAGTATGTCAACATTGGAATGTTACAACCAGAATCACCATACTAGAGATCTGGTTGGACATGCAATACTTCTCCATAAGGTTGCCTACTGAAGGTATGGCATATTCTTAAAGATGCTTCAGGTAGCTTATACTTGTAATTGTGACCAATAGGCATGTGAGAATGATATTCAGTAATTCCAGGGCTGAATTCATGTTACATCATTGGACTAATGGTTTTATATATACTACCACAGTCAATAAGTTCGTGGAATGGTCGCAAAGCGTACGGGGATTTATTGCCAATATGTTTCAGCAGTGTTTTTGATAGCTATATCAACGTTGGCATACTTGCATAGCAGCTAGTGGCAACTATTTTGAGGGCTGATGTGGATCTGTGTAAGTGTATGTGAATACCTTGTAATATGATACGATAAAACCACATTCCATGAACTTACCGCATATATCAGTACATTGCATGGGCATCAAGGTTACAGAAAATTGAACCTAATAACATGAAAATCTGGATCACAATTCATGTATCACTAAATACAAAGAACAGATGACTGATAACCAACCTGTTAAAGGAAAAATATGAACACAGTTTGGAAACAAGTCTATAATATTACAACTTGCTGAAGGTTGGTCAGGGACAATGATCATTCTAACAGAACTGGGGGTCTATAAAGCCTCCTGCTTTCCTGATATACTGCATATTAGACAATGGAAGTACTACTGTACTTCATATTATCAGACATACATTTGAAATAATGAAGCACCTTGGACATGTAAACAGGAGGACATACTGACTCTGGCAGTGCTTGGTGTTACTAATTTGTGGGGCCCAGTCATTCTCATGACCTTTGGGGTGCACTCTGATTTAGCTAGCTTCTGAGTCAGAACAGGACCAGTCACAGAGCAGTCCATCAAGCAACAAATGCAGTTAAGCACCAGACATTGGTCCTGAAGATGGCCACAGCAGTGCTACATAAAATGCTTGAAACTAACAACGTGGTTAAATCTGACACTTACTATCATGTACTGTTGCAATTCTTAAGAGTGATGAATATAAGTTTTGAGGTTTGGCAAGTGGTGATCATTGCAGTTGTGGGTTGTGGCACTGAGTAATTTTGTAGGTTGATGCAGACATTTTAGAGAAACATGCTGCCCCCTCTTTCAAGGTTGAAGGAGAATATTATGACTTTTGAAAGGGTTGTTTCTGGCCATGCCAATCCTGTTGACCCAGACTGGGCTTCATTTTCTTATCCCCCCCAGTTGGTCTGATGCTACCTTCCTTGCAGCCTTACTATTGCCCAGCCAGTTCCTCACCCTCCATTCTTAAGCCATGAAGATGGAGGCAGTATATTCCTTGGAAATGCAGCATCTTCCAACAAGATTACTTGGTGTCACAAGCAAGAAGACAACAATCTGAAGAGTTAATAATGTGGAAAAAATGAAACAGTTTGTCTTTCTGGACATGTTTTCCAGTAGCTGTGAAGATATTTAATAGTTATGTTAGCAAGGCAGAACTTAGCAAATTGCAAAGGTTGGCTTGCTTGGGTATCACAGGAGCAATTTGAACATCTCCAACAGCTGCACTGGAGACACTCCTTGGGCTCCCCCCACTGCATCTACACTTGGAGGCAGAGGCCAGGGCAGGAATCTGCCGTCTCCAGTGCAGTGATCAATGGAAACCTAAATCCAGTAATTTTGGACATGCATACATAACTCAGGACATGAAAAAAGAACCCATATTACAAATGGGGTCTGACAAAATGATACTGAGACATATATATGAAAAACCCTTCACAGTCAGATTTCCTGACAGGAGTGAATGGGAAGATGGGTTTCGGCCCGATAGGGAAGGGGGACTGATCTGTTATACAGATGGTTCCAAGATAAATAAGGGCACTGGAGCTGGTGTGTTCTGCTATGGCACAAGGCGGAAACTTAATTTCAGCCTTGAGCAGTATGACAGTATTCCAGGCAGAAGTATATGCCATTAAGGCATGTATTATGGAGAATTTAGATAGGAACTACAGAAATAAGAACATCTACATTCTATCTGACAGCCAAGCTGCACTTACAGCGCTTGACAAACACCAGATCAACTCAAAATTGGTTTGGGATTGCCACCAAATTCTCATGGAACTGGCCAAACATAACAGGGTAGAACTGATATGGGTGCCGGGGCATGAGGGTATTGCTGGAAACAAAATAGCAGACCAATTGGCCAAGATTGGAGCTGAACACCCATTCATAGGACCTAAACAAGCCTGTGGCATCTCTATAGGAGTCACCAGAAAGGCAATCAGGGACTGGACAAATATGAATCACAAGAAATACTGGGGATCCTTGATTGGACTCAGGCAAGCAAAGGGACTCATACGAGGACCCTCTACTAAGAGAGTGAAGGAACTGTTGAAGTTAGACAGGAACCAGCTACAATAGGTGGTAGGACACTGTCACCTCAAAGGACACCTCTTCAAATTGAGACTAAGAAACAATCCAACTTGTGAGAGGTCTCAAGAAGAAAATGAAACAGCCACACATATCCTGTGCGAATGTGAGGCCTTAGCTTATTTAACATTGCGCCACTTGGGTCAATATTTTATGGAACCAAGTGACTATTTCGATCTCCCCACATACATCCCACACTTCATTTGAAGCGCAGGATTGTTGAGGGGATAATCAGAAGGGGAGGCACAATAGATCACTGTGGTTGCGGTACAAGGGCCAAGAAGGCCCAGCCCTTATACAGTCATTCATTCAATAGTTATGTTTGTACACAGTCATGTTATTCTGTACCTTAAGTAGTTCCTGCAGCTGTGCAGGCTCCTTGTCCCTTAGATAAAAGATACAGTTGCGTGGGTGGTGAGCATGTAGGCCTAGCTTTGCACAGTTTGGACCTACAGTGCACTTGGCTCCCATAGTGAATGTTTTGCCACAGCCACAACAGAATTCATGTTTGCACTGGCTGCATGTGAAGTGTATGCAACCTCCTCTTGCCAGTGAATAGCGGAACTTGCACTTTGGACAGTCAATACCATGTTCAGCCAAGTGTTTAGCCAGTCCTGCTGCCTGGATCTCAGGATCATTCGCTTCTTTCCACTCAGCAAATTTTTCGCATGTAATACCCTCATGTTGCTTCTCCCACTGAAAAATTATTAAAATGTTATAATTTTTTAAAATATCAGTCATAATCTTTTGTCCTTTTGTATTTGCACATTTGGAAATATAACATGTCACAGTGATGAATTTTAAATTTTAGTCCATTGGATTGAAAACACAAGTATTTAACTTTTCAAGCTATTATTGTACTAAGTAAATTCCAAGTATTCTTATAGTAATTAAAATGTATATAATGCAAGTTATAGAATGTGACTGGATGATATTTATGAAATTCACTATGATTTCAGTTGATGTTCTACTGTTGTTTTTGCTTCCAAAGTTTAAAAGTGTACTCTTGTGCTATCAAGAAGAAGCAGTTATTTGTATCATTTTTCTAACCAATGGCTTACTGTATTAAAAAATGAATGTTTGCTAACATTTTCATTATTCAGTGTCATGAATTCAGTAAATATTATGGGGTGCAACTTGTAGGGTTTTCTTTTTTGCCAAGCTCTGAATGTTTATAGTGAAGGAACTGTAGAACTGAATTAAATTAATGTCAATGTCCAATGCTGTATACTCTCAAGTCTGAAATCTTCTTTGCCAGCATCACATGCTTCAGTTTTCAGCAAGTAATATTTTCTCCTTTAAAGTTCTACAGCTGCTTGCATAAATATTGAAAGGTAAATGACTTTTTAGATCAATTTATAAACATCTGTAAAAGTACTGCATCATACTTCTCGTTGTTGTTGGAGCCTTTCTTGTACATTTAAAATCTGAATGGAATATTTAAAAAGTTGTTCCTCTTTTGCAGGTATGGGCACATCAGTTCCTAGTGGTAGAAGTTTGTTCACATTGGTGGGGATTACATTGAGAATGGGACAATATAAGTTATGGTGTTCATTTATATTTAATGATTGTATTTGTAGCATATATTAATCATATTGTCACATGTCACAGTGACTAAAGATGGGGTTTGGATTGGTGATTGGATTTACTAACCACCTCCAGGTCATAACTACAATTAATTATTACACTATTCATGCTTTACACAATTTACAAACACTCCAAACTAATCTCTTCAGTCTCTCTGCACTAGTCTTCACGGATTTATAACACAGGAACTATAACAGTCTCACTGAATTACACACACCAAATATTACACATAAATAAAGTCTTCTAATCACACATTAAGCCTTCACCGGCCGACTTCTAATTCTTCTCCTACCAAGAACTGGCTTGCTTGTTTACGTGCTTCTGCTGCTACTACTACTCATAACTTGTAACTGCTGTACCCCTCCAGCTGACTGCTATCCTCTTGTTGGCGTGCTTCTGCCGCTACTGTTACTTGTAATTGCTGTACTCCTCCAGCTTACTGCTATCCTCTTGTTTACATGCTTCTGCCACTACTGCTTACTCATAACTGCTGTTCTCCTCCAGCTCGCTGCTATCCTCTTCTTGGCATGCTTCTGCCGCTAATACTCACTCATAACTTGTAACTGCTCTGAACGAATTGTCACCTATTTATATAACCATGAAACAGATATGGACGCACAGTAAACACATATCACGTGATCGCTGCCCTGCCAGTCTATTGGCGCATTGATCAGAACTACAGAAAACACAGCTACCTCTGTTTGTGTGTTGGACCGTGTTTAGAGAGTTGTTGCCTGGCAATGCGTTGATCAAATCTGTTACAATGTGCATGAAACTTCTGAAATGTAGGTTATAGATATATGTGACCTTTGTGTTGATAATTTTGTAACTGTACTGTAGATAGCATAGTTGAGTGAGGCACTATGCTACAAGCCAGAAGGTCTGCGGGTTTGAGTCCTGATGAGTTCATTTAATTTTTTGAATTTACCTAATCCTTCCAGCCGCAATATCACCCTGGGACTGACTCATCTTGTAACAGAAATGACTACCAGGAGGGAGGGGGGGGGTGAAGGGCAGTGGGCATGTAAGGCTCACAACATTACCACCATCTGTGAGCTGATTGTCTAGATGTGGGAGCCTCGAACCCCTATGGGCCTTCATGGCTAGTTACAGGCACAGCTTTACCTTTTTTACTTTAAAATGTTTCTCTGAAACAGTAGAATGTGTATCAACAAATTTTGTAATTATTTAATGAATGCTTAAGAAGTGGTTTTTGCTAAAGGCATTAGTACAGCTTAAGATTTTGGTTCATAAATGTGCAGAATACAATTAAAATAATATTTGAAAATGTTGAGAATGTTAGGAAAATAATGATTTTGACCATCATCACTGACCAGCAGTAGTGTGCTTGCTGACTAGTTCTGGTCAGGCTGAGTATTCCTTCTTTTTGAAATTAGAGTGTGTACTTTGCTTTAGTTGACAGAATCAGAGTCATACTCACTGGTCGTCTGCAGGATGCGCATGTTACTGAACGGCAGTCAGGACAGACCAACCTCTTTTGGCGGGGATTGGCAATAAATCCAGAACAACACTGGAACAACATATTCAAACATCAATAGTTCTGTAAAATTGTCTTCTTGATTTTTTTTGTGACGTAATGTGAATCTTACCTTGACACACCATTTAAAGTTGGGATCTTGCATTAATGTCCGATCTCTTAGTTTCCTCTGGAAGAGCTCATGAATTGGTGGATCAAGAAAGCTTTTTAGTAAGATGTCAAGATTACTGAAGTATTCTAATGCTTCATCGTCATCTTGCATTTCTGGTTCCTTGCAGAATGGACATACAGCATCATTTATATTGCGATCAGTAATCTGGATTGTGAAGTAGTTCTTTGCACAGTCCTTGCAGCAGCAGTGAATACATTTGAGCATGGACACCATCTAAGTGGGTAAAAAGTAAATTGTTACTCCAGTCCTTCATTAAAGGTAAAGCTATCCATGAAACAGGGCATGGAGACCCATAGGGTTGTGAGACATCGAGGCTTCCACATTTTCTAGACAGTCAGCTCACAGATGGCAGTGAGGTTGTCAGCCATTTGCACCGGCCACCCTTTATCCCCAGGAAGATTCCTGGTACTCATTTTTGTTAGAGGCTGAGTCAACTCCAGGGCCATAGTGCGGCTGGAAGGATGAAGTCAATTGAAAAATCCAGTGACCTCATTAGGAATCAAACCTGTGACCTTCTGGCTTGTAGCATAGTGCCTCAGCGATAGCGTTAATTGGTTGAAGCACTATGCTGCAAGCCAGAAGGTCACCCTATGGGCCTTCATGGCCTGTTACAGGGATAGCTTTACCTTCATCTTAATCCTTCATTAAGCCATTGTTGTTTCATGAATATTGTATCTTCATGAAATTGTAAATGAGATATCTTCTTTTCCTGTTAGAACCCAACTGACCTAGTCAATTGATAAAGCAGGTAACAACACTGAGCTACAAAGCACAAATATATTTTTAAAACTGAAACCTTAAAATATAATGAAACAGATATTTGTACTTGCAAACACTTTCTGACATCCATTCATATAAAATTCAACACAATATATTGTGCTAAAAGAGAGGTAAATTATTCTGCTGGTACTCAGCGTTGCACTGACCTGCTTCATAGGGTATTTTCCAGTACAGAGTTCACACTCTTGTTGCAGGAATGATAGAGCTGCATTTAGGGTGCTACATTCTTGAGCTGCATTCAGTGCCTCATCTTGTTCAAACTTTAGATCCATCAGTTTCACAGCTAGCTCAGCCTGTTCATATGTTTTCACCAATCCCTCAGCAAGAAATCTCCGTACCTGACGCTGCAGAGTGGAGGAAACAGGGAAGGGAATTGGTGGAAACAGAAACATGTAAGTAATTTGTATATTCATGAATTACCATTCTTCTTCATTGTATGAAGAAATATTTAAGGACATTAGGCAGAAACAAATAAAGCAGTGTAGTTTTACTTTGGTAAAAATTACCAAATTACTTGACACAAGATTTTACTTGCATGTCAATACCTGAATCCACTTTTAAAGTGGAGGGCTGTAAGACACTGATAATCTCCCAAGCTGAGAAAAGTCATAAAAGTATTAGGCAAACTACTATGTACAGAGAAACCACCTTTAAATATTGCATATTTAGACTAAATATAAACAGAATTGTACAGAAACAAAGATTCCTGCTACTTGGTGACTTTTTGCTTAAGTTTGTTGAATTCTAATTTGAAGTCATCAAATTTCATGGTATAAAATGAAATTCTTGAGAAAAAATATCAGGTACTTCAGCAGACATAATTACAACATGATAAATTAAATACATTACATAAGTAATTTTGTAATGTATTTCATGTTCTTTGGTACAAAACAAGTGAAAAATTCAGCAGTTTTACTCATAACCTTTTGACACGCGAGTACTGCTCTGACATTTATCCATAAAGTTTTGAAATGTAATGGTCATTTCCATGTTTTTGTTATTGTCCTTATGAATAAATTTCAGATTTGGATTTATGTTCAGCTCACCTCAAACTGGAATTGATCTGTAACTGTGCTAGATACGTCTGCTATGGGGCTTGTGACTTCATCCGGCTTTTTGAAGCTTTCATTATTGACAGAATGAAATGCTGTGGGCTGCAGATATTCATTGGCTGTGATACTGTTTTCTTTGATAGAGGCATATAAATGATTATCACTATTTGTTGAATGGAGGACTTCTAACTGAGAAGAACTTGACTGAGTTTGAGCTGTAGTACCATTTTGTATTATAGCTTCATTGTTATTTGAAGTTGTATGTGTACTGACACTTGGTGGATTTCTGTTGACCTTTGCTGATTTACGTTTAGGAGGAACTGGGGCTTTCGCATCCATGGAAGTAAATGCGCATGAAACAGTATGGAAAGATTCTGCATTGGTAGAAGGAGTTATATCATTTGTCATGGATCTTGATGAATGTGATGGATCTTCTGTCCCCATTCTTTGGGGACTTGGAGTTGATACGTCAGCGCTTTTTACTGACATCAAGGTGAAAGAATTTTCTATTTCTGCTTGTTTAGATGGGAGAGAAGCTACTATATTATCTGTTAAAATTTCATGTGCTGCTTTTAAAACCAGCATATTTTCAGTCTTCTTATCATGGAGGCTCAGAATGTTTTCATGATCTTTTGAGAATTTTGGTGATTCACTAACTGCATTCATATTTTCCAGTATCAGTTTTATTTCTTCATTTTCTTCTTCATCCTCTTCCTCATAATCTTCTTCCTCCATTTCATCATTTGTTACATATTCTTCATAATCGTCATCTTCATCTGCACAGTGCTCTTGAAATGAGGGTGCACTTTGTACTATATTCTGTAGACTTTCTTTCTGTATGTGTTCGTGTTGTAATGGTTCTACAATTGGATTGTGATATTGGTCATCTTTGTCACTGACTCTTTCTACAGAGGTTTGTATAGGTAACGATTCTGTTTTCATCGGATTGGCAGTGATGTCTGAACTTTCATTAACTGGAATACTATCATTATCTACGATTCTGGCAGATTCCAGTTTTAGACTCCATTGTTTCACTGTGGAATCAGGTTCATTGTGTTTGCTTTCTACTGTGATATTATGTTCAGGAAAAGGCTTAGAAATTTCTTGATGTGCATGTGATTCATGGAGTACTTTATCTATTTCTGTGGTGTCTTCTTGAAAACTTGTTGATTCAGCTGCCATCTTTTTATCTGGAGGTATTTCAAATAAATAATCCTTTTCATAAACTGATTGTGAATTTGTGATGCTACCTATTTCTCCTGAAGCCTCAGATGGTTCTTGTTGTGGAGTTGAACTTGCTTGGTGTGCTTTATTCTGATTGAATGCAGCCATTATTGAGTCTTTGAATGCTTTTGCATGAGGAATGCCTGAATAATTGCCTGTCAGCACATTCAACAGCATCTGGAATGCTTGGTCTTTAGATATCACTCCTTCATCTACTGAAGAAAATTCAGCAGGAATTTGCTGGTCCTCATCTTTGACTGGATCTTTGTCACATACCTGAGTTTCACATTGCCCCAAATTGACTGTCCCTATATGAACATTACTTCCCTTTAAACTTGCAGAGCTACTGATCTCTACTGCAGTCGCCAAACTTGAAGGCTCATCTGGAAGGACTGATTCAGATTTATCACTCACCGCTTTTTTGTTGTCAATAATTGCTTCATCAGATTCCGTATCAGAATGTGCATCTACAAAGTCTGTTACTGATATATTGTCATCTGTGTGGGAGAGAAATTACAACAAATGAGTTACTCGTATCAAATGTTGAGGCGGTTGTTGTTGTTGTTGTTGTTGCAGGTAGTCTCCTATTTACATAATTTTGTTTTGCATTGTTAACCAGCAGGGATGTGAATTTAGTTTTTCGTTGTATTTTGAACAATTGCACATTAATATTGTTTTGATGTAAATCAGTGTTTATAGAAACTCATTCTTGGTATAATTTGGAGACTACCTGTATCATTATAACTTGATAATTACCTTCATCTTCAGGGTGTTTATTGGCTACAGCATTTGGTATTTCATTAGTGTTCACCCCAGTATTCTCTGCATTAATATTCCCACTTTCATTTTCTGTTCCGTTTGGAGGCCCCCAGATCCTCATGAGGAATGGTTTAAGCTGAGTTTTACTGAGCTCGAGATAAGCAGCTTCTGTGTTACCATGATTTGCTGTTAGTACAGTTACAATGTCCTCTCTTGTAAAATTTCCACGTGACAACAAATCTGCATACTGTAAAAAAGCACAATATAGGTAATATATAATTTCAGACAAGGAGTCAAATATTTGGCTACTCACACTTAGCTTATTGTGAATAGTAAAAATAATTACGAGTATAATGAATAGGTTAGCTGTAAGTGGGGCACTGGTCTTGTATTTAGTACCTAGTTCAAATCTCGGCTGGTACCAGCTATTAGTATTTTTTTTTATTACCTATCCTATCCCTACAGAAATTTGCTGGAAAAGTGCATTTATCAAATAGTGGCCATGATGTTGTTCTTGATTTTTATATCACCTTTGTAGCAGTACTGACATTGCTGTCTTTTCATGATATAACTAATGTTCCTTCCACTTATCCTAAATGGAGCACCACTCCATAACCTTTCATTCAAACATGCATTTTCTACACACAGACACACACACACACACACACGCACACGCACACGCACCCCCGCGCGCGCACACACACACACAAACACACACACACCTGTGCGCGCGTGCACACACACACACACACACATTATAAAGGAATGTCTTGGCCACATCAGTACTATACAAATACTATTTCCTACATCATTCTGCCACCTCTTTTGATTTTCTGTTAGTAATGTATATATGTAGTGCATATTGTGAAAATAAAAATGATTGTTATTGACATATTGATTTCAAAAAAAAGGGGACAGTATAAAAATTGATGGCAAAATTGGTCGTGCTTGAAGGAATAATGTACTATTTAACCAGTAGAATGAATGTGAAATGTGCAAAATGAGCATTGATAAATTTTTTATGTTGATGTGATTGATTAGATATTCCTTTAACTAACCTTCACATATAAAATTAAATTTATGTAAGCATGTTCTCACACAGGGGTGTATGTGTTTTCACTTGTATCCCAAGACCAACTGATTCTATACATAAAAATTTTTGCAAAATTACTAAATTTCACTGGAATGAAATTGTATATGTGCATGGTTTCAGGTCTGAAAGAAAATGAACTTTGTTTTTAAACAGGTAGACATGTTACTTTACATGTTATACCTTCATGATCTACAAATTTGCATATCATTTACATCTGCACAAGTGACATGGCATTAATCTAGAGGCTTCAGAATGCAGATGTGAATGGAATTGACATAAGCAAAGAGTGGCTCTTTTACGAGAGTTCAAGTCCTCATCGTCGTGACTAAAGATTACGATATGATGCCATGTGGTTTGGTAGGTAGATTCAAATGTTTTGGAGGAATCTGCCTCCTCCAACTTCTCCACTGAAGACAGAGGCAACAGGTTCCTTCAAAACGTTGATACCTATCTACCAAAATACATGGCATTACATCCATGGTACTGGCAGGAAATTTTCCTTGGGGGTGTGGGGGGCAGAAAATTTGCCCACAGATTTATGGTCAGGCAATTTAAGATATTTTTATGGTTTCCCCAGAGATGTAGAGCTCTGTATTGAAATATAGATAGACCTGCAGACTGTATTTATTGTTGAGGTCTGAGCTGTAAGTTTGGAAGCAGCTGGAACACGTAAGTGGCTAGTTATGTACAGCCTATTCTTACTTGGCTTAAATGTTTGTCATTCACACCAGTTGTTGCCTTTTATAGTTCTCACATTTTAGTTCAAACATTAAGCATTCAGATTGGAATTTACAAAGAATATATACTTATTTTTATTATTGCTAGTGGGGTGGGACTAAGTCCCTTGTACTGCGGCCACTTCTGGCCTATTATACCAGCCCCAGATGATGATAGGTGAGGGAGATTGTGGAGCAATTGGTGGAATGAAGGTTGGCAGGGGAAACCGAAGTACTCTGAGAAAACATGCCCCAGTGCCACTTTGTCCACCACAAATCCCATTTGACCAGACCCGGGATCGAATCCGGGCTGTCGCGGTGGGAAGCCAGCGACTAACCGCTTGAGAAGAATATACTATACTTACTTCATTATGGATATTTGTTGTTGAATTTCAAATGAAACTCTTTTTACTTCTGATGATTGAAGTAGTGCTTTGAAACCTGAGAATTCCCATATGCCAGGCATTTATCATGGAGTGTTAATACTTTATATGTGCATGACACTTATAATTGTTTCATACCAATGTCAACAAAAGTTTTTAGGTACCGCAAGATATTTCTTGTACTGAAGTCACTTTTCTTGAATGTTAATATTCTGTAGTGCTTTACTGATGATCATTACAGTGACAGGTTAGGTATTTTATGGTAATATACAGTTATACAACAATGGCAACAATTATTATTAAGTGCTGGCAAACTGAATTATGTTGTCTGTAGACTATGTGCTGTGTTTGAAACTGGTAGAACAATTCTTTCAGTATATTAGTTCTTGAGTACTTAAAGTGTGTGTTTGCTATGCAATAAAAGTGTTAGCCTGTCCCTCAGAGTTCATATTGATGTCGGAAAGTAAGAAATCGTGCAAGTAATATTGAAATTACTTGTGTTAAGCATACATTCGCTAATTGAACTAAGTGTAAAATTGTATTGAAGGGTGAATTTTAGTTTCAGAATGGGTATATGACTCTTTGTAGTTGTTAACATGGAAACTCCAAGTGTTTCCAGGCAGGGGAAAAATGTTACTTACAATGAGGTCCAAATCAGCAAGAAGACACATATAGCCATCAATGCTGATGCATTTCTAAACACACTCAGACAACAAAAAGACACTTATTGCAGTCATTTCAGGTATTATATTTTGTGGAATATGTGATCAGCCTCTGGACAGAAGAACAGATGACACTGCAGTCTTCAGTGGCCTTAGCTGATTCTGAATAAAGTCTGGTGACAATTTGTTAAAGAAACACTTGCAGAGGGTCCCCAAGGATCTCTCATACCACTCATCAAGTCCAGAACGAAATACTTTGAAATGTGCTGCCTAGTTCTAAAGGCATTTTGATGTCAGAAGTTGAAGGTAGCAGTTCTGGCTGACAGAGCAACAGCTGTTCAAGCTTCTAAGCAGCTATCAGTTGGAATAAGACATGAGGCAAAATGAGCTGACAAACAGGTGTGCTGGAGATGTATTCTTTGGATTTGTACCTATTAATGATCATTCAATGGAGGCTATTTCATTTGTTGTTGTCCATGCTATGTCAGGTTACAATTTTGACGTGAACAGACTGAAGACTAGTGTATCGAGGCTTAAGATGGCTGTTCAGCAATGGAAGAATGGATTGGAGGAGTTCAGCACCATATAAAGAACAAATATCCAAATGCTTTGTTTTTCTGTTTGGGTGGTCATTGAACGAGTCTTGTTACTAATGACGTAAATGGTTTGGCTGAAAGGCGGAATGGTATTGATTCTGTGAAAGATGTATTTTTTTTATGGAGAGAATTCTTTAGAGGACTATGATCCTAAACATGCCAATTCACTGTGCAACACACTTGTCAAAAAAATACAAGAGCATCAGAGTCTTTTCTGAGAATTTTATGATTATCATGAATGATTTGGAAAGGCTGTCTGAAAATTTTAATAACTTGACCAGAAGTCAGTTATTTCAGTTGCTTCATGCAACACATTAACCAGTTTTCATAAGTCGTGTTTGTGCCATTTCAGGATATTTTTTGTAGTTCAGTCCTGTTAACAGTAATCTGCAGCAGTAAGGCTTATAATTGCATTTCACATTAAAGCATATTGAATGTTTGACTTGAAATAAAAGTTCTGAGTTTGTTGGGAAAATGCTGTACAAGAATTCAGTACATTCTCTGAGTTGGCAGAATCAGGTGTTGATAAACTGCATGTGAAATTAACTTTTCTGTTCTCAGCAGAATGGTTAAAACATCAAACTAGCATTCCTACTGATACACAAGAAGAGTATTTACAAAGAATATCATGATTCACCATCAGTAGCATATTAAAGCCATTTTTCAGAAAGTAATTTTGATGCTTTCTTACTTACATTTGAAAACCTTTGAAACTTGTCAGTAGCTGGGTACATGGAAATTGCAAAAAGGATACAAAATGTATGGAAACTTACTTGACAATTTGCTAGCTGAAGCACGATATTGGTATGAATTTTGGAGAGTTTCAGATAAAGGCATTGATGCCGGTTAACTGCTTAAACATGTGAACACATTTTAACCTTCAGTACATAGCACACCTCGCATATGCCTGTCACTCCATGTGACAGATTGCACTATTGAAGGATCCTTCAGCACCACTTGACATGTTAGGACGTGGTTGATGTCTATCATGGATGATGAATATTTGTTTCTGTTATGTATGATGTGTATTCATAAGGAATGAGTCAACAATGGAGGCTGATTTTGTTGAGGGAGCTGTTGAGCACTGTTGTATTCTAGCTAGGAGAGTAAATTTATCTTTAAAACTTGTTTTAATTTTTGGTACTCATAATATTTGTATATTTTTGTACTTTGGCTATTTTAACCTGGAATTTCATTAGGATACATTAGGTTTTTATGTATGGGATGAAGATGAATCATTTTATTCATAATTGCAGAAGTCATTGATTGGCTAGTAATACCTTTTTTTGACGTTGCTCAACACACTCAGTGACTGCTGCCCACACATTTCCCCTGTGCAAACGTAAGGCGTCACGTGCTTCAGGAACTGATATGGTGCCAATGTTGTTTTCTTTGCGTTCATGGCCATAGTTAGTTGCCAGTGTGACCACTGTGTCTATCATGTTGCGCCAGTTCTCCTTCAGCCAGTCGATTGGATTCTTATCACCACAATGGTTCATTGCCACCTGCAAGTCTTCAGGTGTGAAGCTGTGCTGTTCAGCTTCCTAGGTGAAAAGCACAACACAATGTTACACATGACACCATTGAGAACAGCAAATAGGAGCTGCATTTTTAGATTTCTGTGGGTAACTGAATGGTATCAGAAATTTAACTGATATCTGTCTGTTACACAAGATATTTCTATGATATCAGAGAACAATAACATATAATTGTTACTAGCACTCATCTTAGATGTGTATTTTGCCATTTATGCTACTGCATAATATATTTATGTGTAAATTAACTAACTTCATGGAGCACAGTTCTTGTTAATATGTTGATAGTTTTTCAGTTTGTCAAGAAAATATCCACATTTTATGGATTCCAAATTTCATTGCTATTTTCACAAGAGTTCGTTGGCTCTTGCCCTGGCCCAAATAAGTTCAGTCCACTTCATTATATTCTGTTTCTCTAAGATCCATTTTATGATGCATGGTAAAAGATGATGTAATACTTTGATTATATGGATGAGGGAAATTATGAAATACATTACCAAAGTATTTAGATCTATGACAAAACAATGCTAGTAATAATGACGCTGCTCTAAAGCAATATTTTCTTACATACATGGTAGTTAGCTCTCTGTATGAGAGATCACTGAATTGATTATCTTATTATATTACTTACCCTGAGCAACCTGACTAGTTCAAGACCCTGAGTTTTCATTGCTTCTGTACGTTGCCTTTGTACTAAATCTTCCAAGGCAAAAAAGTCTTGTCGATTCATCCCAAGTTGACTTTCTGGGGGTTGGGACCCAGCACGACTGCCAATGCTGTGGCGACGTCCTGCACGTTCAGGCTATGGACAAGATAAAGTGATTCAAAGGAAATGTAGCAGTTTCCCCTTATATGTATAAACTAATTAGACTAACAGTAATGACACTGAAAACCACACCTTTTCTTCCCTTAGTAATTTTGAAATTAGACCTTTAAATATTACTTCCTTGTGGATAAAATATGGAATATGTCCATCGTTTAGTAATGATGTTTATGTGGCTTAATAGATAATGGAAATAATATGTACATTGATCGTACAATGGAAATGAATCTTCCATAAATATGTGTGTGTAATCTTGCCACACCCTTAAATAATTATTATATCCAGGAGACTCTGCAGGAAAAGAAGTTCTCCTGTTTTCCCATTGGTCATTATGGTGAATATCAACGTGACTCCTGGTTGAGTCTGAGATTCTTTTGTGGTCCATGGATGAATGGTGTTTTCCCTCTTGAAAATCATCTCTCCTAAGATCATTGGAAGGTCCACCAAAATATGAACCAAGGTTGTTGTGCTCTCGAAACGTAAGCATGTCATCATCAGGAAATCTGCCTCCAAACCGAACAGGACTTGTGTCCCTTGAAGGTGATAATGGCAGACTCTGCAACATAATCATTATTGCTCTTGAAGCTGTGTAATAAAGAAGATAAATCTGCAGTATACTTGTATACCATCATATTCAGGTTTTGAAAACTGTTTGTCATATACTTATAATAAAATGTGCTTACTTCACATAGATTCCTGTATGCTGTTTCTTCACTTATTTGACAACACTTTGCCAAATAAATGACTTAGAGAATATGTTGTACTAATGTTTGACAGTTGAACTCTTCCTGTACTAATGATGTGATAAAAGGTTTTATTAGTTTAGTATTTATAATAATATGGAACTAAAACTTGTAACAGGGCTATTCATTCTACGTGTATTTGATAGGTGAAACAGTACAAGTGATTATAAATCTGTAACAAAGAATGTTATGCTTGATAGTCACCTTAAATTGATATAATTAGAAAGTTATTTTTAAGATGCCTTTTTACTTTTAATTATAATTTTAAAAATAAACATATTGAGGATCTTTACAGATTTTTTGGTTTCAATCTGTAATTGTGTTAATTGGGTTTACTGTGTTATCTATATTTCATTCTTCATCACTTGATATAGTTCTCATGTTGAAAAATATCCATTTTAATACAATCTTACATAATAGAATACATGAATCATAATTTTCAGCACATCTTTTCATATCATGCAGTAATATATTTGTTTTTGCTGTCTATTCCCTTCTTTGCTTGACAATCTTTTCGATTATCTTGTAAATTTTACCAACAATCCCTCTAAATGTGGAAAATTGAAATATGTTTAAATTTGTTCTCTGAATAAATGAAATAAGCCTTAAAATCAAAATCTTAACATAAAGTATGTGGTTGCACATATAATTCAAAAGTTTTTTGTCTACAATAAGATCTTTTTTTTTTTTTGCAGTGGTTGGTTAATCATTTAAATATTCAGTGAGGTTCATTGCTGTCACACTTAGTTTCATTGAGTTGAGCCATCAGTAGTCTCATTATTGTAATAGTTCAGATCATTCTGAATATGTTTCAACACAAATCATCAGACCATACTTCGGCATTCAAACTAAAAGTGATATAATATTCAAAAGAAAATAATTTACCTGAAGAAGAAAAGCTTTTTTATTATTTTTATGTCATGTATAATTCATTGGCCCTTTACTTCAACCTAAAACCTTAAAATAGTAATAAGTTTGAAAGATATAAGACATTTTCTTGTGAGGGCATAATCCAAGATCACAATGAAGTACGCCTTGCACTTTAATTTTAAAGTATAAAGTATATGTTAAAAGAAGTGTGAAATATGTATGAGCAAATATAAGAGCCATGCTGGATAATAAATGCACTAACCTGGATTTGTAGATGGAGAATAGTTTTAATTTTTAACAGCAACTTGTCTGTATTGTGAGGAAGGCATGATCCCTTGATAGACTTGAGCAGAAGAAATTTAGCAGCCTGTATAGTAAGCAGTATGTGTTAGTGAGGCATACCTGAGCATCACTCATGAGTGACTGTCGGCTTTGTGAGCGGAAGAGGTAGTGAGGAGTACTTCCCCAGGTGTCATCAGCTGTTTGTGTGCTCATATGCAACGACATGGCGCGTTTCAGCCTTTGTGCTGGCTTATGCATTTCCTCCTGCTCATGCCTGTGGCCTGGTAATGTGGCAGCATCACTTTGCCCTGACATGCTCATCGCTTTCAGAGGTGCTTCATATGTCTGTTAATAAGAAACCAGGTGCCTGTACCTGTAGCTCTCTTATACATCAGTAAGCTTCTGATTAGTGATCCAAGTGAATTAGTCATTCAAAAGTAAAGGTTTTGAGAGTTGTAAAGGGTGTTAATTATATCCTCATTATTTCCTTCCTAGTTATAGATTATAGTATAACTTTTACTGAACACTACTGCATGTCTACACCTGGAAACTGCTCTTAGTTTAAAATTTGTGGGTTTCACTTCTTTGAACCAAATACCAATATTATTTTTTTTTTATTAATTATTAATATAGACAGATTTCTGGTGTGGTTGTGATGATCAGAGAATTGTCAAAACAAATCATGGCCTACTTTATTAATAAAATATATTTTTGATGAAGTCTTCTTGGGCAGTCAGCCATGTGGACATGTGGTTACGATTCACTGTTTCAAAGACTATCTGTGTCCATTATCAAGGGCCCTGTGGCATGGAAGAACTAGGGAGGTTTCCTAGACATTTCAGCAACATCATCCAGACTTGAGGTTCATGATAGAAACGGAAGAAGATAGCTTGCCACCATTCTTTGTTGTTCTGGTAAAGAGGGAGCCCAATGATTCTGTGGTTCATTTGATCTGTGGAGAAGCCAACACATACTCTTTTACATGTCCTTTCTAAGCATTGCCCTTTGCAACAGTGTGCTGTTCTCCCAGCACTCTTTAGATGGGCCAAGAAAATGTGTCATCTGGAAAGTCTGGATGAGGAAATTTTGTATCTCAAGAAGATTTTAAGGTAGAATGGTTGTGTACAGTGGTAGACCAGAATCACTTTTACATTACTGGAAACTGGCTCAGGTGACTACTATGCTTTATATGCAGATCATTTCAGCAGGATAAGTAGGCTTCTGGCAAGGTCCAGCATTACTGTCCACAGTCCAACTAAAGACAATGCTCGCTCACTGAGACCAGATGATTGCCCAGTAAGACTTCATTGCTTTTAGTTCTTGTGAAAACTTCAAACCATACATGATGTTTTTTTGTCACAGAATGTGGAAGTGGGGTTTGGATTTACAGTTTCAATTTACAGCAATTTATAAGGAGGACCTTTGATGAAGGACAGTGAATTAATTTGTCTGCAGTAAATGGACTAGTTGCATAAGCATAAATATAGCTTGCCGGAACATGTGCTGTGGCAGATTGTGTTACCTTTTCCCATTAAGTTTTCTGTTTAATAAGTTTCTTTGGAATACATTTTGAGCCAAATTTATTTTAAATTGAAGTTTTCAGTATGTAGTATTTGGGTGCATAGACAGTACTTCTGTATGATATGAAACATAAGAATGTCATGTTGTCATCAGCACATTTAACATACGGGCTTCTCTAAGATGCTACCTTAGTAATAACATGTTAATGGCAAACTAAAAAAAATATATATCTATATCTTACCTGTAGCTAATTGAGTTTCATGTTAATTTTTGCAGACTGTTTCTGGAACCTAATTGACTTTTTTGTGTGCGAATGTGTATATGTCATGTGCTTATGCACGTATAGTGCACCGTTGGAAGAAGAAGACATTGGACAGAATCAGTCAGAACAGTCATTTTACTTGTAATGTTAGATACATATATAATGGAGATCTCCTTACCATTCTTGGCCTTATTTACAATATTAAAAAACAAAATTTGTAAAATTGAATGAGGTGGACATTTTGTATTATATATACTGTTGCAAAGTTAAATATTTAGTAGTAACATTATCAAATCAGTAATGTATTCACAAATAAATTAGGAGCAGATTGCGTCTGAGGAATGCTAATCATCAAACAGTTAAAGATCCTTAATCTTCTCATCTTATATAAAATGTAAAGATAAATAAAGTATACAGAACTCTAATTTTACCTGTTATTTTGTAAGAGTGTCTGTCTGTCATGTTAAGGAAAGAGTGTAGATTAAGAGCTTCCGAGAACATGGTGATGTGGAGCATGTTTGAACCTAAGAGGGAGTAAGTAACTGATGGCTGGAGAAAGCTGCATAATGAAACTATTTTTTATCATTTTTCATATGCCATCAATTACAACACACTTAGGTTTGCTGTTTACCATTGATGGTATGTGATAAATGATGATAAATATCGTTATGGATTACAATGTTACACAACTCAGCTTTAAAATCTGTCTAATGTGCTTTATAATTTATACTCTTGACCAAATATTATTAGAATGATAGGCTATGGGATGGCTGGGCTATGTAGCACATTGGAGACAAATGGGAAATGCATACAGAATTTTAGTCAGGAAGCTGAAATGAAGAGAAGACCTAGGCATAGGAAGGAGGTAATATTAAAATGGATCTTAAATAAATATAGCAGAAGGGTGTTTGACTGCATTAATCTGGCTCAGGATAGGGACCAATGGCAGACTCTTATGAGCACAATAAAGAAATGTCAGGTTCATATAGGAAGGGAATTTCTTCACTAGCTGAGCTACTGTTAGTTTCTCAAGAAGGATTTTGGTCCATGGAGTTAGTTGGGATGAGCCATTTATAAACAGTGGTAAAACAATGCGAACTTTGCATCTCTTACTCAACAGAATTGAAATCAGTGGCACACATGCTTCATTATGGTGATTGCAGTGGTGTTTAGAGTATGTTTCATAATCAGAATTCAAGATTACTAGAATTCAGAATTATATGAAGTCTGTAGAATTCAATAAAATTTTCACTCCAGTCTTTCTTCAAACTAAATCTTCACACATTCATAAAAATTTGTTGCTTAGTAATGACAGAGCCCTACTCTTTCATGCTTATCTGAAACAATAAAAAGTCTTAACTTATTTCTCGCTTATAGTTACCAAACTGAAAACAAATTTATAATTCTTTTCCTTTCTCTTTTCCAACATTACACTGATCTGCCACGGTATTTTAAATTCTGTACTTGTCTCTCTCATGAAATTATGCAAAACATTCTATAATCTATAACAATAAGGACATTACTGGAAAATTAACTGTAACAAGTCATGCAATAAAGAAATCATGCACACTTCCAGAACACTAATTTCAAATGTATCAATGTTAATGACATCAAAAGGAAAGAAGAAATTTGAAAGAAAAAGAAACTTTTATAATGTATAAAAAGAAGTTCTTGTTAGAATGGACCTTAAGTTGTTTCAGAACCTTACCTGAGTTGAGATGCTTTGTGGTGGCGGTGATGTTCCAGTAGATGTCATCACTTTAAATTTATTGGAAGTTTCAGAATTTTTTTCGATACTAGATTCTGTTTTCTGTATTTCAGTGCTTGATTTTGTTGTCTGAGTGTCTGTGACAGACTGAGTGGCCGTTGGCATGACACTTGTCTGAACTGGCTTACTTTCTAATATCAGAATTTCTCTAGGAGGTGATGGTCCAACTCCTGTTGACACTGTAGTCTTCTCAGCTGGAGTGGCAGCTCGACTTCTCTGATGTTTGGGTATTTCCTTGACAGTTTTGTTTGTTGCAGAAAGCTCCTGATCATTAACTATGGGTAGTGGAGGTGGTGTTGCTACTGAGAATTGAGAATGAGAGTCGGAGGATGTTGTGGTGGTGAATATATCTGAAGGGGCAGATGGAACAGATTTAGTCTCAGACACAGAGTCACTTAATTCATTGTGGCGAGATTTTGTCTGCGCCATTTCAGATGTCTTCGCACCTTCCAGAATTTCCCCTATAAAATGGGTTAGATTGTTAGCTTGAATGTATGAGGTGGAGAAAAATTTTGTACACAATTTGCTATAATAATATGTATTGTGTTCCAATAAATATATATTATTTTAGCTACAAAATAAAATGTTTGTATAAAACTCTGACTAATCCACAGAGAACCTAATTTAAATGCTTAGATAAGAATAAGGAGCTAATAATCCAATACAATTTCTGTTTGTCATAAAGATATGTTAGCCCACAAAAACTGATTAATATTTCTTAGCTTTGAGTCTAAAAATGTACCAGATATCAAGTTTTCACACAATGTCTTAACATTTCTGTGGGAACTTTGTCCCAGGCCAAAATGATATTTTTCTGGAAGGCCTACCTTTCCTTTTACTGTTAGTTGAGTCTACATCTGAAGATCGCAATTGCACACCGTCATAGGAATCTTCTTCAGCATCTACAGTTTTGTCTGATTTACGCGTAATTCTCAGTTGTTTGTTGAACTGTGCTACAACATAGCCCTCATCATAGGGAATGTCGCTATAGTCATCACTTGTAGGCTGTGGCTCACGCTTGACCATAAATTCACTGTGACGCCATTGCCTGCTGGTGCCTGTGTCATTGTAATCAGCATCACTTCGGCTCTTGGTGCTCTTTACACTGCCACGTCTGAAACTTGAACCATTGATTGTGTTTTTTTGGCTTCTGGTTTGCGTATTGAGACTATTTGTAATTCTGCTGGTGTCCAAATTATTTCGTCTTAATCTACGTCGGTGTTGTTGTTGTTGTTGTTGTTGTTGGTGTGAGTCTGTTGATGGTTTCTGTGGTAGACCTGTTGGAGTCTTGCAGCAGATGGCACAAACCCTGGTGCCAGCACGATTGACATATGTACAGTGTTCACATTCCCACTGGTGTGTAGGAATTACTGGTTTTGGCGGAGGTAACTGTGTTTCCTCATCAGTCCCTTTTTCTAGATCATCATCAACCACTTGTTCATCATTCTGGACATTTGAGAAGTATTCATCTCCAGAACTTTCTGAAGGCTCATGGCTTTTATGCTGAGGCACTGTAGCTACATTTTTCTGTGTCTGATAATCGTTCAATCTTGAGGTCTGTGATTTCCGTGATTTTATGCTAGTTGCTGGTGATTCAGCTCTGTGGTATTGTTGATGGTTGTTTGGGGCTGGGGATGTCACCCTGTGCATCTGTGTAGACTTGACACTGTGTGCTGGGGACACAGCTCTCCTGCATTGCTGCTGTTGTGTGGACTTTGTACTGTGTGCAGGTGATGAATGTCTGCGGTTATTCTGACCCATGTTTCGAGGAAGCATGTTACTGTTAGGTGCATTAATGCTGGTTTGTGATGCACTCATGCCTAGTGGATATCCTCCTGGTGGTGATGTAGGATACATTCCTGGTGGTGGGCCATGCCAAGTACCCATGTTATTGACACCTGCACCCCACACAGGGACAAATCCACTGCCATCTCCACCAGTATAACCAGAAGCCGGTATGTTTAAACTTAAATTGCTTGGTGTCCTTCCAGGTGGGCCACCAAATTCCCATGGGTTATTAGAGATCCATACCATGCCATGATGACAACTTGGACAATTCAGATGTGCCATAGACTGGGCCTGAAAAATGTTTGCATCTTAATGGTTTGAGGACATGAACATAGTGAATAACAGTACATGTCAGTATAGACTTCTAATTTGTCATATTTTCTAATTTCATTATTGTTTCATAATATGTCACATATAGCCTGTGGTACATAATTCAATTTTGTCTTAGTAAATGAATTTAAGAAGAGACTCCCTCTTATATTTTGGGAACTTCTGTTAGTGCCAACATATAAACATTGAAAATCTATATTCACTATTATTTCTTTTCTACATTCAACATTAATCAGATCTCTCAGGTATGTGTTGTGGTTTACTAATTACTTATGAAGAAAATGGGAAAAATTTTTACCTGTTGCATTGTGTGGAAACTTTGTTGTGGCTGTGGTGGATAATTCGCGATTCCCTGCAGATCAGTTACAGAGCTACTCTGCGTAAGGCCCCTTCCAAAAAACCCATTACTTCGTTGAGCAGGAGTTGATGGTGGAGACTGGAATTCACTAGTGCGACGACGAGATAATGTCGCCAGGCCAGATATGTCATTTGAATTATATCGCATCCTGGAGCTTATGTCAATGCCAGATGAACCAGAAACACTGCCTGAGCGGTTTCGTAGGCCCCATTGTTCAGCTTCCCAGTCTGGGTAACCACTGTCCCTGCTTGGTGGCTGTAGACAAGGAAGGTTCTTTCAGGCTGTTTATTCAAACATTTCTTGACAAAAGTAGCAGACATTAAATGAACAAACTGCCCAAAAAGCAGTAATAGTATTAAAGACATTCAAATCCAATATGTTCTCTATGGGCTCAGGTTCAGGATAGGGACCTGTGGAGGGCTCTTATGAACACAGTAATGAAATTTTGGGTCCCATAAAATGCTGGGAAATTCTTGAGTATGAAGAAAGCAGTCTTCTGGGATGTGGCGCTGTGTAGATGTGGTGTTAACCGACGTTTCGGAGGAACGTATCGCCTCCATCTTCAGGGTAGAAGGAAAAAATAAGAAACTTTGCAAGCAAAGAAATTCTGACGCTGCCAACAGGATCTATACATGCACTAGCTTCTGTTTGCTCCGTGAACACATCCACCACACCAGGTGGGAGCTAGATGTATCCAGAGAATTATTTAAATTACACCTGCGCTTGACCAAGGACTTGTCCGTCGATGACTGGGACCTGATCGACCGCATCACAAGTGAGAAGGCTTTACACATCGCTGATGACGTAAGAGCCAGGCACTGCAGGAAGTTTCAACGATTTCATGAGGCCCAGCACCCACCCAGCCCCCTTGACAACAAGAAGACTTTGGTCAATCTGAGTGAAGTGCATTGGAAGAAGCGACTTTCTCAGCCCTGAGGAAGGGCCTCAACTTTGCTGTGGCTCCAGTGTCCGTCCTTATCAAGGATATCCTGTGCGGGGTGGAGAAGGCGATAGTGGCCTTGCCTGTAGAGACTGCAGAGGAGATCTGACAGGAGACAGTCAGGATTCTCAAAAACTCCCACAAACCCAAGGATAACCTGACTGGTGCCGAGAGGAGAGCCCTTCGGTCCTTAGAAGCCAATAAGGCGCTCACCGTCCTTCTGGCTGACAATGGTAATGTGGCTGTGGTACTGGATATGTCAGACTACAACTGAAAGATCACCACTCTCTTGGTGGACAAGGCCTACAAGAAGTTGAAGAAGGATCCTACGGATGCCATAGAGCACAAGACTGTTCTTCTCCTGAAAAAGTCCCTGATTGCTGAGGAGGTCTGCCAACAGCTATGACCTCAAGGTTCCAGGCCACCTAGACTCTACGGGTTGCCGAAGATCCACAAGCCTGATGTTCCACTAAGGCCATTGTGAGCACTATTGGCTCTCCTACCTATCACCTGGCCAAACATTTGACTGGCCTACTGAGCACATATACTGGCAACTGTCTACACCACGTAAGTAACTCTGTGGAATTTGTCCACACATTGGGCTCTCTCCATGTCAATCCCCATGACATAATGGTCAGTTTTTATGTAGTGTCACTCTTCACCAGGGTGCCTATAAAGGATACTACGGATCTGTTAGGACGATATTTCGAAGAAGATATCTTTGAGACTCTTCCATCATGTCCTGACCACCTCATACTTCAGCTTCAATGGCCAATTCTATGAAGAAACCGATGGTGTGGCTGCTCTCACTGTCTCTTCGCTTGAGGATTTTCTTATTTTTCCTTCTGCCCTGAAGATGGAGGCGATACCTTCCTCCTAAATATTGGCTAACTCCACATCCCAGAAGACTGCTTTCTTCATAGTCACTGCCGTGAAAACCTCAAATCTTCTAATTGTACCTCATTATTTGAACCGTAGATTCAAGTATGTGGAGTAATATTTGATCCATTCTTTTGATGGGATGAGTTACCAGTTGTGTATATTGCTATATATAATATATTGCATTTCTTGGATTTGACAGTACAACATTTACTAACTCTACTGAATTTCATGAATTTCTGTGTTCTCCTTTTACACATTGATACAAAGGAATTCATGCCAAATGGCCTTGTATTTCTTTGATTTTATTGCATACTAAAGTATGAAAATTTAAAAAAGTCATATAAAATACAAATACAATATATGAATGGGGCAGTGGTGCAAATGCTGTGTGCTAAGGATTCTAAGTGGTTATTATTTAGGATACTGCAATTTCTCCTCAAAGGTTATACAATGTATAATATTTCAGGTAACAGATGTGTGAATAAGTATTTATTTGAAGAAAGTTGTCTTCTGGGTTTTGGTGCCGTGTATTCTTCGTTTTGGCCGACGTTTCGGCCTACGAAGTAGGCAGGGGGGTGGTTAGGGAGAGCAGACCAATAGGAGCAGTGGAGAGCGATTAAGGCCATATATGGTGTTGTGTGCTAAGGGGGGGGGACGTCCAGTGAATCCAGGAAACTTGAGGTCAATAGCACTAGGAGGTTGCGGTCAGACAAGAAGAACCGGTTGGCTGGGGACAGGCTACTGACGTCAATGGCATGACGAAGAACTGGGGTGGCTTGTTGGATTTCTCTTGAAGGAAGAGATGAGAGGCTTCCATGACTTGTTGAGACTGAACCCTGTTTCCTTGTTCATGTTGTTCGGATGGAGCTCGATCTCAATGGCCTCCATGATTATGCGATCTAGGTAACGGCTCTTACTGGTGATTATGGCAGTTTTGTGAAACTGGATACGGTGGCCTACTTTGTATATATAGCAGCGCCTTTCACTTCCTAATCATTACAGCTACTGCTCTCTGCATTCACAAGCCATTCACCTGCTCTGAAGATGGAGGCGATACGTTCCTCCGAAACGTCGGCCAAAACGAAGAATACACAGCGCCAAAACCCAGAAGACGACTTTCTTCATAGCCATCGTCGTGAAAACCTCAAAACTTACAAAGTATTTATTTCTTTGAAATTTGTTTCATTTTCGCAAATATTGTGTATTGATTGAAATTCCTCCTTTGCAGTCCAGTCATATGAGCTGATAGTAACACCTATCTTGCATTGAAGAGGTCCATTGACTAAATCCCTGTGAAATGAATATTATTAGCCTAAAACAATTCATATTTTCCTTAGGCCTTCAAGATAAACTGAAGTGAATGCATTTTATGTCCTGTGGTTTATGTGAGGGCTGTGATGAACAATCTTAGCCTCACGTTACCACTGATATTCAATTTGAAGCAACCTAAAGACCCTTCCATTCCAAGTTAGGGTATTATACATTATGATTGTAGCATTTCTTTGTAACTTGTCAACAGTGCTGGATCCAGTACTTACTAGATGCTGGTCAGGCAAGTTTGTTAAACTGTTGTTGGCCATATTATTGCTTCTGGCTCTTTGTTGCTTTGTTTCATTTTCTCGTTCATTTTCACTCAGCTTATTGTTCATTTCCACAACAGTAAGTGGGATGTTGGGAGTGGTACCCCTCATTGCAGCCTGATGTTGACGATAGCGCTGTTGAAGTGTCCCTATACGGTCAGCCATTTGTGGTTTTGGTTGGTGTGTTTGCTCAGGTGGGGCTGAACTCAGTGTTGGAGGACTTGGAACCATGTGGTCAAAGTCATCTCTCATCGCTGCTGGGAAAAATCAGAAGTACTACAGGTCGGGTCATGTCTCTTTGTGTGCTGTTGCAATTATCTGCAGAAATATTTGCTATACATAGGATATCATGCTTATTATAGTTTTCCTTGCAAAGATGTGGCAGTTTTAAACTATGTGGAAGTAAAAGTACTTGATTGTGCAAGAAGTAGACTTAGTAATACAGATTTTAGAGGTTTCCATGGTGGTGATTGTGGTCTTCTGTGTTGTTAGAATGTGTAGTCTTGTTGGTGGAAATGACCGTTTTTGAAGAACATGGTGTCACCATCTTTAGTGTTGAAGTGTTAGTTATATAACCAAGCCTGCTTCTCAACCTACACACTTCAACCCTGAAGATGGAGGCAGCATGTTCTTCTGNACAACATTCCAGTGATGGAACATCCACCGTATTCTCCGGACCTAGCACCGTGCGACTTTTTTCTCTTCCCAAAAATCAAGTCTGCGCTGAAAGGGACCAGGTTCGAGTCCGTGGATGCAGTGAAAGCAAAAGCGACGCAACTCTTGAAGAGCATAACACAAGATGACCTGCAGCACTGCTTCCAACAGTGGAAAATTCGCATGGAGCGGTGTAGGGATCGGGGAGGGGACTACATTGAAGGGGATAACATTTCGACTGTCTGATTTTTTTTTAATAAAGGGTTAGAGCATGAATCCGGTTTCTTTATTGCCACACCTTGTATCATTATCCACCAACAGAACTACATGGTATCTCAACCTAAAAGACCACAATCTGGACCTACTGATGTTTTTGAAAGAATGTACAAGTAAACTTGCAATTAATAACCGTTAATGTATGTGTATTTATAAGTGCATTGCCCCCCCTACCCCACCCCACTCTTTGCAAGAACACTTTAGATTGGGCAGTTGTGTAAGAGTGTATAATTACAATCTACAGTTTTCTTTTGGAGAAGCTGGAATACACACCAAACAACAACATTAACTAGTTCATATAATTCACTGGTCTTGAGACTTGAAGTTTTGAAACTCTTATAATCAGACTTAAAATAATGCTGCATTCAAGAGTAAGAACATGGCAGCAGTTGTTAGTATATAGGTGTGTAGAAAACTAGATTCTTAAAGCCATGCGATGGTGAACCATTTATTTCCTTGCATAATTTTCCATTAAAAAGACACATTAAATGCTAAGGACTTGTATATTTTTGCATTTCTTGCAAGGAATCGACTTCTTTCAGGCTACCACAAACACTATTTAGGTTGAACCTAAGTATTTCATTCTTATTTATAAACTGTTCTACAATTTTGCAATGACAGATACTGAAATATTTTAATTATGTACAGAATATTTCATTATCTGTGAACTAACAGAACAGCAGTACATGTAAAACCTTGTAGGGGTTGAAAAGTCTTCTTACTCTGGAATTTGTTAGGTGGGGGCGGTAAAGGCCTGCCACCCATCATCCTTTTCAAGCTTCCCATCTTATCCTTGATTGAGAAATCCTTCTTGGGCAGAGTTGGACCCTAGTTTAAACAAGACAACACATCATTGTATATTTGAAATCATACAGAAATAGTAGGCCATAGTCTTCAGTTAACATCCTATATATTTCTTCCTTCATGTCTTCTGCCACCTTTGAATTTCTGTGTGATTTAACTGGAATTCTTGGATGTTGTTGAAACCTGTTGTTGAATCTGCTATTGCATCATTACTTGAATGCACTACTTGCCATCAGACACTTAGTTGAATTTATGTGGTGTCCTTGATAACTGTTCTCCATCACATCTCTATTTCCATAGAAGTAGTAAAGTACGTTATAAGACTTGCAGCTTTCACAGCAAGTGAATGCAGTCTTCTCAGATGATTGGTCAAAGCAAATGGATATGGCTGGCCATCTGAGAAGACTTTATTGCACTAAGGCATAAGATAATTGAAGATTATTCTCCAGATTAATTTGTCATAAGAATTATATTTAATTATTTACATTTTTGTTGTTGTGGAAGCTCAGTGTCTGTGTTACTATGGCTTTTGATAGTCCATGAGGTTCAACCACTGTGTGAATAATCGTAAAATATAATCTAGAGCTTACTGTACCAACTGATGAAAATGAGCTCCTGAGATCAAGTGAACTTTATTGAAATAATAATTAGAATGTTAAAATATCTAAAAGTAAAACTAAGGTAATATCTAGCGGCCTCCGTAGTCTAGAGGTAACGTTCCCACCTCATGACTCATAGTACGCGGGTTAAAATACCCGGCGG